CCCCTCCTCCCCCTCCTCCTCCTCCTCCTCCTCCTCCCTCCTCCTCCTCCCTCCTCCTCCCTGCCCCTGCCCTCCCGAGGAGCGGACGCCGGAGTGGGCGGCGTGCTACCCCGAGGCCGCCGCGGCGCTGGACGCGGCGGGCGACTTCACCTCCATGGTGTTCGTGGTGGAGTCGGGCTCCAGCCGTCCCTGCCCCGCCTCCCTCCAGCCGGATGGGGCGCCTCGCGTCCCCGGCGCGATCGTACACGGAAGCTGGAAAAGTTGATCGGGGCCAGCCCTTCCACTCTCTGCAGCCCAGGCCGGGTTCCTTTCGTTTTTCCCAGCGCGGGCGACCGCATCCACACTGTTTCGGGCTCGCTGCGCCCACTGCCAGTTCTTCCAGCCCTGGCCACTTCCGTTTTCACGGACTGTCCAACTTACTTTTTTTTCCAGTGTCCTTGCGCCGTGCCCGGGACCGTCAGACAGCGGCTCAGGATGGAGAGCCAGTCCTGGGGAAAGGGTCGGGACTCCCGGGGACGCCGTAATTACTGAAAGCTCCGAGGCTCATGCCGATTCCACCGGTTGGATTGGGTTCGATTTCGATTGATTCCGATGCCGATTCGATTCGACCAGGCATGGCTTGCTGCTGAACTCCAACGCTGCCCCTGACCTAGGCCAAGGGGAAAACGAGCCTGCGATCGTCGCTCCCGGCGCCGTCCTGGCGCTGCCAGGGCGGCGGGCGCGCCCTCCGACCCGGAGGCCGGAAGACGGCCAAAGAGGCCTCGCCGCCGCTGCCGCGTTCGCTGGGCAAGGCGAGTGGAGCAAGCCACCTGCTCGAAGGCCCGTCGGCCCCGAAAGCGTCTCGACGCAGGGCTCGCTGCCCGCGCCAGGGGCTCTGGCGGAGGAACGGGCAGAACAGGCCCAAGAGTCATCGTCAAAGTTGGAATTCACCCTCCTTCCAAGCTCCCTCTTCGCAAGCCCCTACATTGGTTTGTTTCCATTGAGGATAACTGCCTCGTTGGAAGACAACCGTTTGAAGACCTTGAAGCATACCAAAACATGGTTCTCGGGATATCCACGCCACGGATCAACCTGAGAGCTGCGTTCCGACGATCTGAAATCGTGCCAGAACGCCATTTTCGGGAAGTCAACACCGCGAATCACCATAACTGTTGCACCCGCGTAATCTTGAATCTTTCCAACATCGTGTCTGGTACGTTGATCATGAGAATCCGTGAAGCGCTTCCATTTGTTTTAAACGAATGTGCGCGGCGCTAGGGCGAGAGCCACATTTTGAAAAGGAGCCGCCTTCAATCCGTGAAACGCTCGCACAGTTTTAAACCGAATGTTCGCGACGCTAAGGGCGAGAGCTACATTAAAACTACCCGCCCTCAATCCGTGAAACTATTGCAATTGTTTAATACGAATGTGCTCGGCGCTAAGGCGAGGGCCACGTTTTGAAAACCACCCGCCCTCAATCCGTGAAACCCTTCATTTTTAACGAATGCGCGCGGCGCTAAGGCGATAGCCGCATTTTGAAAAGGAACCGCCCTCAATCTGTGAAAGTCTTGCAATTTTTTAAACCGAATGTTCGCGGTGCTAAGGGCGAGAGCCATATTTTGAAAGCGACCATCCCTCCAACTGTGAAGCTGTTGCCAGTTTGTAAGTTGTTGAGTCATAAGTGGTGGGGAAGTCTCAGGCGAAACGCCTGGGCCGCCCTAAAAGCTGGCCTCGGGGTGTGACAGGAAGGAATTATCTATTACACCTGAGTAAAACCGCGTAAGTGGATGATTTGAAAATTGATACTGTGGATCTTGATATCGATTGTGAGATCGATAATGAGATCGATAGTGGAATCGATAGTGAGGACGATTGTAAGGTCGATCGTGAGACCGAGAGTGAAGTCGATTCAATGAGATCGATCGCGAGATCGCTCATGCGATCTCTAGTGAGATCGCTTGAGAGATTGATCGATGGTGAGATAGATCGAGAAGTCGGTGATGAGATCGATGGTGAGACCGATCGATAAGAAAATCGACCAGGAACCCGGGAACCTGGGAACCTCGCCGCCCTCCGAAATCGGGCCGGAACCCAGAACTGGGAATCCGGGAACCCGGGAACCCGGGAACCCAGCGTGCGACCAGAATCGGCGGGGCATTTTCGCCAAATCTTTCAACATCTGCGAGGACCCCTTCAGTGCAAGCATTGATTGCATGGGGAATAAGGAAAAGGAATGGAGGAGGAGGAGGAGGAGGAGGAGGAGGAGGAGGAGGAGGAGCGAGGGGAAAAAGGAACAAAAAGCCGAAGACAGACGCCGACATGCATTATTAAACGGGAGAGGCACAGGCAGCAGCAGGCAAGCGCGCATGTTCGGGGCGGGCGTGGGGCGGGAGAGGGGGCAAAGGGAGTCGGCGGCAGTCGGAAGGTCGTCGTGGGTCCAGGGATCGTCGGCGTCGTCGTCGGCGTCGTCGTGGGTCGTGGGTGGGGGGAGCCGTCGGGGTCGTCGTGGATCCCGGGGGCTGAGGGCCGTCGCAGCAGGGCTCGCCGGGCATCAGACGGGGCGGGGCGGGCGAGGCCGACGTCGGGGGTGGGGGCGAGGGCGGGGGGGCGGGGGATGTCGGGGGCAGAAGGGCGGTTGCGGCGTCTGCCGCGCTCGCCGTCGTCGCCGCGGCGAGCCATATGGTGACCAGCGGATTGCCAGAGGATTGTTGCCCGTGCTCGGATGCTCGCAGACAAGTCGGGCGCTCACATGGTTCAGGCATATGTTCGTAGACATGTTGCAAAAAGAGGGGAGGCAGGAATAGCTGAAGGAGGACGTACACAGACGACCTAGTCGACTACATTGACAGTGTCGATTCGGCACCGAACACGGAGCAGAGAGGAGGATGAGGAGGACAAAGACGATGAGGAACAGAAAGAGGAAGAGGAGGAAGACGAGCTGGAAGATGTCGAAGGTCGTCATTGTCATCGGTGCCCAGTCGTAGTCGTCGTCGTCGTCGTCGTCGTCGTCGTCGTCGCTCAGTCGTCGTCGTCGTCGTTGTCGTCGCCGCCCAGTCCTCGTCGTCGTCGCGCCGCCGCCGCCGCCGCCGCCGTCGCCGTCGCCGTCGCCGTCGCCGTCGCCGTCGTCGTCGTCGTCGTCGTCGTCGTCGTCGTCGTCGTCGTCGTCGTCGTCGTCGTCGTCGTCGTCGTCGTCGTCTGCGTGTCGTCCAGTCGTCGCATAATCGTCGCCTAGCCGCTGACGTCGCCCACTCCTCGCCGTCGCCACGGTCAGATGCGCCCGCGGCGCTCTCGCGCCAGTCTTTCTTGCATGTCAGTCAAGTTGTTGAATGCCTGACTGCGACGGCAACCGCTCCTGTTCGATACTTCCTCGCAGTTTACCCCGAAGCGCCCTCGCCACATACGCCTGTGCTCTCGGGAAGTGCGCTCTCACCCGAGACTTCCTCGCAGCTCACTGAAGTTGGCGAGACGTCCCTTACCTCAGGAGTGGCGCTCTCGCCCGAGACTTCCTTGCAGGTCTCTCAAGTTGGTGAGGGCTCAATCGTTCAAGTGACTGAGAGCCTAGCTACGACGACACCGGCTCGGGCTCGATACTTCCTCACAGTTAGCTCTGAGACTGGAGGCCCCAAAATTCAGGAACGGCGCTCTTCCCCGAGATTTGCACGCCGTTCGCCCAAATTTGGAGCTGCCTGTGGGCGCGAGGGCTGGCATGACGGCCAGTGCAGTGCGGAGCGCACACGTGAGTGCACTGCTCAATGATTCTCACAGGAGATGGTATGAGCAGAAGCCCCCAAGAAGGGGGCGATTCTTAGACTCAGCGGGCGGGCGAGAGAGAGAGAGAGATAAAACAACAACAAAAAAACAAACAACAAAAACAATACATGAAGTCAAATCAGCGTGTTTCGATCACATGTTCGCAAGATGCCGTCGTCATTGTCGTCGTTGTCGTCGTCGTTGTCTGTGTCTTCATCGTGGCGTCACGTTTTAACTCCCTCTGGAACACACCACCCTCCCCCCATGACGCGCGTTATCACTGCGAAGAAAAATCAACGCTCTCTTGACAGAGTCCGGCCTTTGTCCAGGCCTCCCGAATGGGGCCGGGTCAGCCGCGGTCGAAGGATCGCGCCGCATCGCGGCATCGGAAATGCGGCCCGATTCAGAGTCTGATTTCTACATCTCGACGTCGCAGATGCATCGCTGGCGCTGGCGATGTAGAGCGATCCTGCGACCCCATCTGCTCTGGCCCCACTGGGAGGCCGTTGCTAGCTCACAGCCTGCACAGACCGACGACCAGATTTTTTCGAATCGCTGGCCCCCCCCAGGTCGCGACCGAATCTTCGTCGCGACCCTTTCGCAGTCGCAAGAGGTCCAGACCTCCTGCGGGGTTCCGCCCTGGTCAGGATGCCGATGGGAGTCCAGCCGCGGCGACGAGAGCAGGCAAAAAGGCAGAACAAATTAGGTAGCAACTCATGAGAGCCTTGCGTACCCTCTTACTTCCGTCTTTAATGTCGACTAGCGTCGATGAGCGTTTGGGGATCGATGAGATAGCGCCGATTTAGTCTGGATTAGCGTCAATTTAGCATCGGTGAGCGTCGACCAGCGTCGATTCGCAGAAGCCAGCAATATGGCATGGTTGCCAACGAAGAACTAATGTCAAACATCTGGATCCTCCATGCGTGCTCGACTCCCTTCTGGCGTCCTGCGGGGGTGGCGCTCCTGGGCACAGGCTTCATCGGCTTCAGCGTGATGACCTTCTGCGTCGTCTGCCTGTCGGCGGGGCGGGACGGGAGGAGAACGGCTGGGCCTGGTGCGGCCTGGAGGATCTTGGGGGAGGAGGAGAGGGACTTGGCATCGCTCGGACGTGTGCGTTACTCTCGGCAAGGACCATCGAGGAGCCTTTTGGGTCAGCCTGTGAAGAGATACGCGCACGGAATCGAAAAGTGCACGGGGAATGGACGTCCGAGCGATGGCCAGGGGAAGCACCAGATCCACGCCGATGCCCGCCTTCGTGTTCACCTTTTTTGATGCCTCTTGCGGGGCTCGCCACGGCTGGATGCGCAACCAGGTCCTCGTCGGGGCTCGGAGAGCAGTTGATCGAGAGCCAAGCTGCAGCGTGGACAGGCCTTCAGAGGTGATGCGCCGCCAGGGGACACGCTCGTTACACGCTGTGGTGCCGACAGGCGCTGGATGCGCCGGCGGCGCGGACGCAGCCCGGCGGCTGCACGCCGCGGCCGGTGTCACCGTTGCCATCCCGCCCGAACCCCCCCCCCCTCCCCCCACGGGTAAGGCCCACTGCCCGGGAAGGGAAAAGAAGCGGTCACCAGAAGGAGTGTGCAGGGGTGTGCGTGTGGCGACGCCCCGAGGAGTCCGCGCAGGCCTCCGCACGTACGTGTGTGTTCGTGTCTTCTTTGCGTTCCTGTTGTGGGCTGGCAGGCGTTCACGGCGTCCAACATCGAGACGACGGTTGTTCCTCAGGCCTGGGCCTCCAGGAGCCTCCAGGGCCCCTTCCTGGGGTCGTCGGAGAACTGCCAGGGGCGAAACATTTGTTCCGCGGAAGGGGTCGAGAGCTCCAGATGCCAGCAAATTGAGCAAATCGAGTCGTCGGAGGCCTGGGACTCTGAGAGAAGGACGAACGAGGCAGTCTTAAAGAGGGAGGAAGGCTGGAGGAGGAAGTGGGGAGGCGGGAGGAGTGCGGGGGATACGGGTAGACTTGCGACGCCCCTGAAAGTTATCTAGTGGGCCAGGAGCTTCTTGAATGTATATGAGGGGCTCGTGTGATGCCTCTAAGTGGCCTCTTGGAGGGCTCTTAGGGGGCATCTGGGGGATCGTTTGGACCTTCTTGGGGGCCTCTTTGGAGCTTCTTGGGGGCTCCTTGGAGGATTCTTGGGGTGCTCGTGGTTGCCAACAGGTAGTATTCGCTCGTCAGAGAATGTTAATGTGGTGTGCATTCGTTGCACGCCTGTTGAATTGCACGGAGTCGTTCTCGGACAGTGCGGATCCCACTGCAGTACCGCATGGCCCGCCAAAGCCTATATTGGGGCGCATCCCGTGACGTCCTTGCGTGCATGCCGGAGTGAGGGCAATAGTACGGGGGAATGGTACGCATCAGCAGTTGCCGCAGTGCTGATAGTTGCGGTCCTGGAGTGGCAGTGCGAGGGGTCGCGCTCGGACTGTAGGAGTTGTCGTCGCTCCTGCCTTAGTCGACGCTGGTGGGAAGAGGACCTCTGTCTCGGATACAGCCAGGTTATATGCGCTTTTTGTGAGGACTTTCCCGGGGCCCACCTAATGGATCTGTTCGACTTCAGGTTGACTCTAGTCCGACTCAAGTCCGACTTAAGTTCGACTCAAGTTCGACTTAAGTTCGACTCAAGTTCGACTTAAGTTCGACTCAAGTTCGACTCAGGTTCGACTCAGGTTCGACTCAGGTTCCACTCAGGTTCCACTCAGGTTCGACTCCAGTCGACCGACTGGACGTTCGACGCAGCTTCGACGCACGAGCGGAGCGATTGGCTCCAAAAAGGTTCCCAGAATGAGCGTCTGAGCCAGGGCCCCAGGTAAGGGCAGCCGGTTAGCGATTGGGCCCCGAAGCCCCCAGACTTGGCTAGAGTCACTACAAACTAAGTTTGCCGCACAGCTGGTGTTTCTCGGGTGACGGCAGTTCCGGTCAGTGGAACGGGGCGGGGGGGCCGTCGCACGGCACGAAACCAGGTCGCACTGAACCCGGTCCTGCCAGCGCCCGACTGTCGGCCACGCGCAGAGGGTTTTCTTTTTGGGAGGGGGGGGGGGGGGAGTCCGGGGCGGCCTCACCGGCCCTCAGCAGACCAGCCCTGTCTGTGACGTCCCCCTCGCCTCGCCCCGAGACGTCTGCATGCGGCCGGCGGGGAGCTCGAGAGGCGAGGGGATGGCGTCACGGACGGGGATGGTTTGGCAGAGGTCCGTTAGGCCGCGCCCGAGGGCGGCGTCTGAGAAGGAGGCTGCTCCCTAGAAGGCGAGGGCCCGGTCTGTAGATTTCGGGCCAGCGCCTTCTAAGAGGCAGCCTCTTCTCAGCAGCCTTCCCCCTACCCCCCTGTGCGCGCCGCCCGCTCTGAGCTTTACAGGACGCCTGAGGTCGAAGAGGAGGAGGAGGAGGAGGAGGAGGAGGAGGAGGAGGAGGAGGAGGAGGAGGAGGAGGAGGAGGAGGAGGAGGATGAGGAGGAGGAGGAGGAGGAGGAGGGAGGAGGAGGAGGAGGAGGAGGAGGAGGAGGAGGAGGAGGAGACGCGCGTTAGCGGCGAGTCCGGGCGGCGACAGTAGCGGAAGCAGCGGGCCGTGCAGGGTGCCGAGTGCCTTTGCGGAATGTCGGATGCAAGCCACTGCGCTTGCAGTGGCCCGCTTGGGCCGGCCCCCCCGGGGCTCTCATCAGGAAGAACGCGGGGGGCCGGGCCCGCAGCAGGAGGCTCTCTCCGAGCCCTGCCTCCGAGCCCTGCTGCTCACAGTCTGAGCATGGCTCCCTGCAGAGGAAGCGGATAAGGAGGAGGGGGAGGAGGAGGAGCAGGAGGAGGAGGAGGAGGAAGATAAAACGCCAGAAAGAGGAAGGACGAGGAGGAGGAGGAGGAGGAGGAGGAGGAGGAGGAGGAGGAGGAGTACGAGGGTGTTGGAGGCGGAGGAGGGGGCTGGAGGTGGCTGAGCAGACGGAGGAGTTGGACGTGGAGGCTGGGGAGTACGAGGTGGAAGAGTTGGAGGTGGTAGAGGTGGAGGAGCAGTAGGTGAAGCTGGGCGCGCCAAAGCAGCGGCGGCCGCCAGACCATATTCATCATCATGTGCCGCCGGAGGTACCTGCACGCCGAGCTCGGTGGGGGATGGCCCGCGTCAACCTTCAGCTTTTTTCCTTCACCCTTACTTTCAACTCCTGGGAGGTTGAATTCAGCAGTGGTCTTGGTTCAGTTTGTTCTGTCCGGCTTACCCTGGCTCATTCTGGAGCTTGATTTGGCTTAACCGCTCCTTCATTTTGTTCATCCTGCTTAGTCTAGCCCGCGAAGACCTCGCAGGAGTCGCCCCTAGCTCTCCCTCCGATCGTGGGCGTGCCCCCGAACCCTGACACACGATGGGGTCAGATCGGGTCGCCCAGGTCGCCCGCGTAGGCGTGAATCTGCCGAATACGTTTATGGTGAGTCACCGCCGATAGCTTTTTTTGGACACGCTCATGTGACCAATCGTTGGGCCAAGTGTTGGCCAAACTACTAAGAGGAGGGACGTGGAGGCCTCTTGAGACCCTCTCTGGGCCTCCTGGGGGCTTGGTGGGGGCCCCGTGGGTGTCTCCTGGGGCCTCTCGGGTGCTCCTGTGGGCCTCTCATCCAGACGCTCTGTCTTGTTTGGAGACGCCTGCTGCTCCAGGTGCTCTTGGGGCGTCTTGGGGGCCGCTTGGGCCGTCTGGAGGGTTCTTGGGCCGTCGCCTCCTGGGGCCTCCTGGGGGCCTTCTGAAAAAATCATGCAACAATATATATTGTTCGTTACGTGTTTCGGGTTTCGCAGGAAGTATTACGCGACGCAGCTTGGGGGCGCAGATCGGCGGCGCCCAACGTTCGCGGATCTTTCGAGATACGAACTTCTTGGCCGTTGACTTGGGCTCTCTTGGGGCCGTGTTGGAGCCTCGGTGCCCTCTGTAGGCCATCTTCCAGGCATCTCTGGGGCCTCACCACGGCCTCCCCTCGGAATCCGCAAGGTGAGTTATTGGAGCTCTCTTTGGGCGTTCTTGAGGCGCTCTTGGGGTCGTCTTGGAGCCCTCCCAGGACTCTTGAGCGATATTGCAGCCATCTTGAGGCCTCAATAGCAAGGCGGAAGCGAACTGCTCATAATGGTAAACGATTGTTTTCTCTATGGCTTCGGAAGGGTTTGGGCCTCTCGGGGGGGTCCTTGTGAGGCTTCGTCCACGTGGATCCGCCTTGGGGCGGTCTTGAGGCTCTGGCAGGCATGTGAGAGACTAACTAGAGCCATTCGGGGCTGTCTTGGGCCATCTTGGCGGACACCTTCGCCCATATGGCTACAATGTTCCAGCCTACTTTAGCCTAGATAGTTCACCAGACAGAGTTTCGAGCACCAAGACAGTACCGAAACTGGACGATTTTCACGTGTCGGGCCCTGGGAGGCGACACTCGTTCGACATTGTTTCGACACTTTTCTGGGTGATCGAAGTTATTTCTGGGATGTGGTCCTTACGTACGACGTGAGCAACATAACCATTAGGGTTCCATCGTGTGTTCATCTTGGACCCTCCCACCCGCGGGGGGAAGGGTTCCAGGCTCAGGGAGGGGGAGTATGGGGGAGAGATTAACCTGCCCCTGGAAGAAAAAGGAAGTTTGACAAACTACTCCTTAGATCAGGCGGTCGCAAACATGGATTAAGGGGGCGTGGATTAGCGACGGGTCCCGTTTCCATGGGAAATCGCGGATTCCCGCCGCCGAGCGAGGCGGCACGAACCACAGTTTGGGCAGAGCGCCTCCCCCGATCCATGGATTTGGCGACCGCGCGCCAAATCCACAGATCGCTATTCCATGTTTGCGCGCCCCCGATTAAACGATCTACGCACCAAAGGCTGGTGGGATTATGGTGCGAGCATCCCCTTTGCCCTGCTTCTATGCTTGCCTGCTTGCCCTGGGCAACACCATCGGCAATCTCACACACACACCGTCAGTGCCATCGTTACACACGCAGCCATCGCACGAATCAATCTTATCAGCTCTGACACCCTGGCGTATTTCGAAGAATTCATTTGGAGCCAGCGCTGCAGGACTGTTCGTCATGCTATTTCGGTGTGCCTCCCCGCCAAGAGTACATTCCTCTGCTGTGTTGTGCTGCGTTGCGGTGCTTTGAAATTTCGGAACCGGGTGTTTTGTGTGTTATGCGCCATGCGTAATGGTGCTGGCTTGCATGGCAGGCGCAGTCCAGGGCAGTCAGCTGGTATGGTATATAGTTTGCACCACGCCCGAGAATATACACAGAGATGATGTTCGCTCTTGTGTCCAAATCGTTTATTACACCAGCATGGCTTCGACGTGCTACGCATAGATATGGGATACATTAACTAAGAATTCCTGGCGGATGTCTTCAGGATTGCTGTTTATCTCTGCAGGTGAACTCAGTTCGTTTATTGGTCCTGAAGGTTGCGCAAGGATGGCCTGGGGGCATCCTGGTTTTCGATATATAATCCGCGGGTTGCCAAAAGGCATATTTCTTTACGAATCCGAGTTACATTTGATACGTGTATATACATACACACAACGCGTATATATATATATATATATATATATATCGGTGTGTCCTCTTTGAAAGACTAGCAAAAGCCAACTGACGAGTGTGCTGTACTTGTCTTCGGGCTCAGACTCGGATCCTCAATGCCCCACGCCTAGGGCTCTACGGATTTGATTGAATTTGTCTCCCATGTTTTCACGCACGCTTCCTGATCGGCGCTGGTGGCGTGGGCCAGCAGAACCGAGTGCCCAGATTGCAGGCCGGTGCTCAGCTTCGACTGTCTCGTCGTTCACTGCGACTGCCCGGCCGTGAACTGCGGCGACGTCCTCAGGCAGGAGCCGATCAGCTTCGCGCTCGGCGACCTGTCCTGGGGGCTCGCCTTGCTGCCCGTGCGCTGCATCCTCGGGCGCTCCCCCCTGCGGGGGCCCGCAGGGGCCCTGGCGCGCTGCCCGTGCAGTCGGTGGCGGTGGAGGGCCCAGAGGCTCAGTCCATCGCGGAGCAGGCCCTTGGCATCGTTCGGACGTGTGCATTTTTCCTTCGGCGACGACAATCGAGGAGCATCCTCGACCATTTGGCGAAACAACCACGCACGAAACCGAACAAAAACACAGGAAATGGACGTCCGAGCGATGGCCAGGGCCCGTCAGCAGTTGGAGGCGGCTGCACTGAAGAGGCGCGCGGTGGCGGCGGGCCCCAGCGGCCAGCAGTCGCAGTGATGTCGGCCTTAGGCGTCTGCACCGTCCTCACCCCTGATGATGACTATGAGGAGGACACCAGCGCCGCGGCTGATATCCTCGAAGCTGCGCGGCTCCCCAACGGCGTGCAAAGCCCCCCTCCGCTGGTCGCGGGCGCTGCCGTCCTGGCGCCGGCGTGCCGCTTCCGAGCGCTGCCCCTGCCCGCGTCAGGAGGCTGGGCCATCCCGTCGCCGCGGCTCCGCTCGTGCTGAACGTGGCGGAGGCGCCCTTTTGCCGCGGGCGCTGTCATGGCCGCGGCGGCGGGCAGGATCGACGAGGGCGGCTTCGCTACATCGCGCCCGACCTCGTCCTGCGGCACGAACGGGTCGTGGTCTACAAACCCGCCCGTGCCGCTCTTGGGGCACCCCCCACAGGCAGAGGCCTAGCCGCTTTGGCGGCTGCCATCTGGGGCCCAGGCGCCCTGCACGGGGCCCTGGCCGCGCCGCCGGCGGCGCTCGTGCCAGGCCCTGCGGCCGCGGCGGTCCCGCCAGGCGCGCCGGTGCCTGCTGCTCTGCCGGCGGCAGCAGGCGTGGCGGTGCCGGGCGCGGGCGGGCGGCACTGGTGCGATCGCGGCCGCCGATGTTGCCCCTGCGGGCCTGGCGGCGGCAGCCGTGGCGCCCGCAGCGGCGGCCCAAGCTCATGGTGCTGCTGGACACCCATGGCGCTCGCTATCGGGAGTTCCGGCTGTGCGTGGCGCTCTTCACGGTCACGCCCTTCGCGGCCTGGCCGGTCCGCGGCCTTCGGACATTGCTTATGGCGGGCAAGGTCATCGTTTCCAACGGAGGCTCGCCCGTCGCACGGCACAACCGCTGGAAGGCGGAGGCGAAATTGTCGGGTTCGGAACCAGTCGTTGCTCGAGACGGCGTCGCGTCCTTCGAGGTGCTCGAACGCTCTTTCCAAGTCCACGAGCAATGGTACCGTGACCGCACCATGGGGCAGGATGACAGTCGACTCTTGCCTTCTTCTCGGCTCGGACCTCGTCCAGGGCAACGTCTGCGTGGCCCTGCAGCTCCAGGACTGGGCGGCCCAGGAGGTTGCCAAGGAGCTGATGGCCATGGAGGAGCGCCGCAAGGCGCGCGAAGACAGGGCGTCGAACAGCAATCGCAACAACAGAGAATAAGGGTAACAAAGACAGGGGGCAGGAGCAGGGGCGATGAAGCACTCCGACGGTGAGTTTAGGTCCCCAGCGTCGGAGAACAATACATTTTCGCCCTATCAGGGCTCTGCCTCTTGCCCGGGCACAACCAGCGACGGGGCTGCACCTGTCCGCGCCAGGGGTGTCTTTCCCTTTCCCCTCCTCCACTCGTTTTGTCCCCGCTGGCGGCGCCGCCCAGGTGGGCCGCTGTGTATATTCCGACGGCGTCGTCGGGCTAAGCGCTCAGTCGAGTGGGCAGATGGTGCCATCTCCTCCCTCGACAGTGCTTATGGCTTCGGTCCCAGCGACCGTCCTCTGAGTCGCACTATGTGCCAGAGGTCGGTCATCCAGCACGTGGGGAAGCAGCTTCAGACTGTGGGACCTCAGCCTGCCGATCTCTGTCATGGCGCGGGAGCCCTCAGTGGGCTCTGCGCTTCTAGCGGTTAGTGCGGTTTTGGGGACCACTAGGCGACCCTATTCCCAGTAGCTCGTTCGTGTCCTGGCCATGCGAGTCGACTTGCCCTGTCCCCGTGGAGCATTTTATCAGCTCGGACGATTGAAATGGATCGGTCGCGCAGGCGAGAACCTGCTGAGGCCCGTGGCCGAGGCCCACAGTTTAATTCGAGAAGCGTGTCCGTTCGGCCCCTGCCTCGACCCGCTCCCCCACTCGTTACGCCGGTTTCGTCGGAAGGCTTGTGGACGGGCATAGCCGCCTGGAAGCTCGCGTCGGGCCGTCCTGGGAAGGTCGGCGTCGTTTTCGTCGCCAGAAAATCTGGTAAGCCTAGGCTTACATGACACGCGCATTGCCAATTGTTTTCGTAGGCCGCCTCCTGCCCCCCGCCCCCCGCGGCCGTGGCCATTGAATATGTGGAGCCCCCCGGGGCCGAGGTCCTCGTTGGCGCGGTGGGTATCGACAACTGCTTTTATATACTTGCCCCCCCGGCAGAGCTTGAGGGCTTTCGCGTTTCCCCTCCCCTCGATGCCGGAGTGGCCTGGGGCGACTGCGGTGGAAGGCCGTGCCTTCGGTCCCGGGGCCATGCTGGAACCGCTGGAACCAGGCTTCACTGCGCCATCGATGGGCTGGACTTTGGGCCGCGCATATCGCCCACCCCACGCCGTTGAACTCTCTCGGGGGCTCTAGCTTCGACGGGCCGCACTTTGTCACGGAGGGCAACCCTTCCGCCCCGCTCGAAAACAGCCGGGGCATTCGGGTCGCCAGCTATGTCGACATCTTCGTGGTTTTCGGCCAGGACCTTGTCGTCGTGGACTCGGCTGCGTCTCTACTTTGGTCTTCCTTGGAACGAACGGGCCTCCTCGCCCACGAGCTGGAGTTCGCCTCGAAAGACTCGTCGTTCCTGGGGTTCGGCCTGAAATCGGGGATCACGCTATCTACCTGGCGTCGCGGCCGTTGGAGGTTGCGCCCCCCGCTATGGAAGAGTTCCTCCAGCACGGCCGCGCCAGCGGATCCCTTCTTCAGGTGGCGGTGGGGCGCGCTACCTGGACTGCCCTTCTCCGTCGGTATGCTTTGAGTTTTTGGGGTGACCTGCATGCTGTCGTCGAGAGCGGTCAACGGGTGGTGTTGTAGACTTGTCGCTGGGCGTCCGGCGGGAGCCGCGAAGGCCTTGGTGCATCTTACCCTTGTGCGCAGCGCAGTTGTCAGAGGCGTATTTTTTCCGTATTGTTCTGCCAGTTGTGGACAGAAAAAAAAAATCCGTCGGAGGAGCGGAAATTCGAGCGCAATGGCGCGCGCGGTCGCGCGCGGCCCACCGTTGGCAATAACGCGACTGCGCGGGCGTCGCGGCGACGACGACGGCGACGGCGACGACGAACATCGCGGCGACGGCGGCGACGGGGCCCGGGCCCCCAGGCGAAGTCGCGCCCCGCCCTTTTTCTGGAACCCTGCCCAAGGTTTTATGGGGGGAGCGGAATGTTTACGCGCTGTTTTGACCCAGCCGTCCCCGCTTAACTAAAGCTCTTGTTCGTTTTAGAGAGAGTTTTTTTTTCGGAATGTATCGAGGGTGCGCCTTTTCTAAAATCGTTTCTTCGCTCTAGTAAAGCCGTTTCTTCGCTTTCGTAAAGCCGTCCCCTCGCTTTAGTAAAGCTGCTTCCTCGCTGTAAAGTCCGCGGTCCGCGCTAGGCCCTGGGGATGCCGTGGTGATGCGGGGCCAGGGCCCAGTCGACCGTGTCTTCCCTGCCAGTTCACCCCGCGGTGCATTTGCTCGGGTAATCGGAGTCGCGTTGCATCGGGTAGCGGCGACCCTGGGACATGTTTCGACGAGTTGTAGATGCCCCTTGACAGGAGATTGAGAGCGCGAGCGCAGGACGTGGATCGGCAACTTCGGACGCGCCGGCGCGGTTGTCGCGAAACATAGCAAAGGGATTTTACTGAAATGCGTGTTTCTTGTAGCAAATTCGATTTGCTAAGGAAACATGCCTTTCAGTAGTTGCGTGAATTCTCCGCTTCCAAAACTGGGCGCCGAGTGGCGCGATCAGGTTCGCGCTTCGGGTGCGCCCCCTTTTGGCGTCGGCGTTTCGGTGCGTCGTTCGCGCCGTCATAAATCTGGGGATTAGGCGGTGTTCAGAGCGCTGGCGGCGCAATATGGAAGAACGCACCCGGCCCCGTGAAGCTGCTTTGGCTACCTCGTCTCGTCGTCTTGGTCTGGGGCTCAACCATCATGCAGGCGTCGACTCGTTCGCCCCTCGCTCCGACGACGACCCCGCTTGCCTCGAGCAAGTTGCCCGTCAATTCGAGGAAGTCCCCGGTGAGTTCATGGATCCCAGCTGTTGGGCCCGCGCGTTTGGCTCCCAGGCCCCCTTTGCACCGACATCGTGGCTCTGGGAGGAAACGCCTTGGTCGTGGCCATGCGCCGTGCTTTTCGTAACCATCGGGCTTTGGGCCGGCGCCTTCTGCTTATCGTTGACAACCTTCCCCTGGCCTTCGGGGCCACTAAGGCAGAGCCAGGTCCAAGGTCCTCAAGTCGCTTTTCACCAAGATGGCGCGTCTTGGCCGAGTTTGCGTATTTTTCTACAGAAGGAATATCCGAAAGCAGTCCGAGCATAGAATGGGGACTATGTTATGTTGTGTTTGGGCATTGTTTGAATGTTTTCATGTCGATTGTCCAAAATCCGCCTGTAGGGGGGCACCCGACGTAAACCTAGTTACTGGCTGCTGTTCTGCTACGCGATGAGCCCCCGGCGAGAGAAACGTTGGCGGTGCGCCGCCCCGGGGCCGATGCGGTTGGCTTGTTGGCGTGAAGCGTATCAGGGCTATACCCCGTCAGCCCGGAGTTGCTGACTGGCCAGCGGACGGCGCCTGCGATCCAGGCCCTCGCGTTTCTGGACGCCCGAAATGGGTACGGAAAGAATGGGTACAATGCCCAACAGCAGTTCCTGTTCATTTTGAACCGGATTCGCTGTCCACGCCGCCGCGGCCTGTGTCCATTCGAGACAAATGGCCGCCTGCACAACAGCGACCGCTGTTGGTTTGGGACAACATTTGTTGTTGGGCATTGTGCCCATTCTTTCCGTACCCATGTCGGGCGTCCAAAGCGTTTGCGATGCGACCCTGTCCGCGCCCATTTCGGCTCCTCCGGGGTTTCGCAGGGCGCCTTCCGCTTGCGGGCGCGGCGGGCCCTATCGGCGCGGGCGCGCCGCGCGCGCCGCCAACCCGGACGGGCGTCGGCGGCGGCCCGTGCGGGCCCAATGAGCGGACCCTCCTGAGGTCGTTCGGTACCTCGGCGGCGGCCAGTGCTTCGCGCGGCCGCCTGGCGCTTGGTACGCAGCTGACAACATCGCGCGAGCATGGATTCAGGAATGTCCGAAATGCAACAGGAAGTCCAGACGTTGCGTTGTAGGCGATCGTGCAGCTTCCGACGGCTCCTACATCTACCCCGGGAGTCTCCTTGGCGAGCCCGAAGGATGTTCTGCGCACGCCGCGCCCCTGTTGAGGACGCGTGCGGAGGGGGCGGCGGAGGCGGAGGCGCCTTTTCTCTCCCTGTCTGTCGCCCCCTCTCGGCCCTCCCCTCCCTCAAGGGGAGAAAAAAACACCCGGACTGGACAGTTGGCGTTAACTAAACGGCCTTGGGCGTGTATTGCCCTGCCCTGTTCCATTCCTTTTCTGGGCGCGTTTGCTAGACGGCTCCGCGTGTCGGGGTGGTTATTATCGGGGTGGAGTGTTTGCCCTCTCTTCCCTCCTCCTGGGCCTCGCCGTCGTCGTCTTCAGCAGCATCCTCCTCTCTTCGGCATGCCATCAGAGTGAGCCCGTGGCGTCAGAGCCAGCCACGGGACACTCGCAGCCGCCACTCGGCCACAGTTCGCGCTGCATGGGTGAGAGCATCTCAGCGTGCGTCCAGCCGTCCATCCCCCTCCCCCAGACTCTTTCCCTCCCCCACTCTTCCCTTCTCGTCCCTTCCCTTTCCCCCTCGCTTCCCCTTGCCTCCCCTTCCCTCCTTCGTTGAACTTGGAGTGTTGGACACTTCAGCTTCCTGTAAAAGAGCAGTTCGGACAGCGAGGCAAGCAACATGTGGCGTGCCTGTCCTTGTCACACACGGGCATCGCCGGCGCCAGAATGGGGAGTGCAGGGGGACCGGTAATGCCAAAGCTCGTCTGCGGGGCGGTCATGATACTGTTCTGGCTTCTCTGGCGGGCCTGGGGGCAGCCGCGCGGGGCTGGAGAGATGAGGAGAGAGGAGGAGGAGGAGGAGGAGGAGCAGCAGGAGGAGGAAGATTTGTTTCACAGCCACGCTCCCTTGTCAGCAACTCTTATTCTGACCATGGCGAGGGTAAGAACTTAACGTTATTCTCCCTCTTATGCTGCTGAGGGGAGCCGGAGGAGGAGCCTGAGAGGCACAGGTTGCGGCAGGGAGCACGGGAGCAGGAGGCAGGAGGCGTGCCTGGAGGACGGAGGCCTCGACCTGCGACGGGCCCTGAGGAGGCCCAGGCAGCAGACGCGTCCAACAGCCTCGGCCCTGTGTCCTCGATCCTCCTTGGACTCGAAGAACAAAAACCTGCATACACATATGGAGGTTGATGCTTATGCCGTTATTTTTCTTCCTCAATCGACGTCGGATGTGTGGTCCAGCCCTCCCAGAAAAGAGGTCAGAGCAGGCGGGGTCGGAGGATCGCGCCGCATCGCCGATGCATCTGCGATGCGGCTCGATGTGGAGTCCGATTTTCTCCACGCCGACGGCGCCGATGCACCCGCGACGTCGGCGAGGTCCTCCGACCCCACCTGTGCAGACCCCATGATGGAGGCTTCTGGGCACGCTCTGGAGCTGCACGGCCCCGCCTGCTCCCGGGGGGTCGGGGGTCGACAGACCTCCTACCCTGACACGTCGATTAAGGAATTGGCCGTTTTCGGTTCGCGAGAGGGCGTCGCGGCCGTCATTTTTGCGGGTCCAGGTCCGTCGGTTTCGGTCCCAGGCCGTTTTCACTCAGGGGAGGTTTACTAAAGGGAGGTTTGTCCACCGCCGGGGGGGGGGGGGGGGCGCCCCGGGCCGTGTCGCCAGGCGCGGGGGGGGGGGCCCTTCGGGCATCCCCGAGAGCTGGGCGCTGCGGCTTGTTCGCACGGCGCGTCTTCGCTGGGTCTCGGGCCCCAGGGACGTCGCGGATGGAGCTGGCTCGGCGAGTGCAGCACGAAGATGGCGTCCAGGCTTCCAGTCGAGCTCTGTTTCACGATGCTGTGTGTTTTTCGCGAAGCTGGATCTCAGGGCTTCCTCGGCACGAGCAGGCATCGGGCGTCGGATGTTTTCAGGACTGGGTTCTCGCTTTGAAGGGGGCACTGCTGGCGCGTCTCCTGCTTCTCCTCCCCCCCATTATTCTTCCTCGTCTGCCTCCCTGCCTCTCACCTCCTCTTCCGCCCTGCCTCCCTCGTCTTGCCTCGTTGCTCCTCCCTTTCCCACTGGGGGGCTGCGGATTGCGTAAGGATCGCCGCTTTCGCTGGCTCCTGGGAGCTCCGGCGCAGTACGCAGGCCCAGACTAGACCTCGCGGTTCCGCGGGGGTGTTGCCACCTGCGCAATTGTCGCCATTTGTCGTGGTCTCTTTGGACATCAAGTGCAGTGGGAATAGACGCAGACCCAGACTAAACGTGTGAGACCTCGCGGCTCCATAGGGTGGGTGGGGGCTGCGAACTGTGCAATTGTCGCCACTTTCGTGGGCTCATGGGAGGTCCAGCGCAGCGGGAACATACGCAGGCCCAGACCAGACCTCGCCGCTACGTGGGAGAGCTGCCACCTGGGCACCTGTCGCCACTTTCGTGGGCCTCTGGGAGGTCCAGCGCAGTGGGGACAAGCGCAGACCCAGACCAGATCTCGCGGATCCATAGGGGTACTGCCACCTGCGCAACCGTTGCCTCTTTCGTTAGCTCATGGGGGGTCCATGGCGGGGGGGACACCATGCGCAGACCCAGACTCGACTTCACAGCCCTCTGGGAGGGGTCGCCACTTTCGTGGGCTCGTGTGAGGTCCAGCGTAGTTGGGACACACGCAGGCGCAGCCTAGATCTCGCTGCTCCGTGGGGTGGGTGGGTGGCTGCGAACGGGGCAATTATTGCCACTCTCGTGGGCTCCTGGGAGGCCCCGCGCAGTGGGAACATACGCAGACCCAGGCTAGATCTCGTGGCTTCGTTGGGGTAGTGCCACCTGCGCAACTGTCGCCACTTTAGTTGGGACATGCGCGGACCCCTTGCAAGACCTCGCACACCTTGTGCGGGCTGAACACTGCGCAACAGTCGCCGCTTTCGTGGGCTCCTGGGATGCCAAGCGCAGTGGGGACATACGCGGACCCTGACTGGACACTCGCGGATCCTTGGGGGTATTGTCGCCTGCGCAATTGCCGCCACGTTCGTGGGCCTTTTGGAGGTCCAGCGCAGTGGGGACATTCGCGGACCCAGACTGGAACTCGCAGCTCTTTGGGGGTGTCACCACCCGCGCAATTGTCGCCACTTTCGCGGGCTTTTGGGAGATCCATCGCAGTGAGGACGTACATACACCCACATTGGACCTTACGGCTCCGTGTGAGTGTTGCCACTTGCGTAATTGTCACCCCTTTCGTGGGATCTTGGGGGGCCCAGTTCAGTGGGGAGCGACATACGCGGACCCAGACTTGACTAGTCCTCGCGGTTCTCTGGGGGTGTTGCCCATTGCGCAGCGGTCGCCATTTTCGCGGGTTCTTCGGAAGCTTGCGCAATCTGTCACACGCGCATCCAGACGAGACTTCGCGGTTCCCTTGGGGCGCCGACACCTGCGCCATTGTTCCCACTTTGATGGGCGCGTGGGAGGCCCACCGCAGTGGTGGACTTCTAGTAGTAGATGAAGTAGAAGTAGAAGTAGAAGTAGAAGTAGAAGTAGAAGTAGAAGTAACAGTAAAAGTAGAAATAGTAGTAGTAGTAGCAGAAGAAGGAGTAGAAGTAGTTGTAGTAGTCGTCGTCGTCGTCGTAGTAGTAGTTGTAGTAGTTGTAGTAGTAGTAGTAGTAGTAGGAGTAGTAGGGGTAGTAGTCGTAGAAGTCGTAGTAGTCGTACTCGTAGTCGTAGTCGTAGTCGTAGTAGTAGTAGTAGTAGTAGTAGTAGTAGTAGTAGTAGTAGTAGTAGAAGTAGTAGTAGTAGTAGTAGAAGTAGTAGTAGTAGTAGTAGTAGTAGTAGTAGTAGTAGTAGTATTAGTAGTAGTAGTAGTAGTAGTAGTAGCAGTAGTAGTAGTCGTCGTAGTAGTAGTGCTACGACTACTGCTAGTCTTAGTTTCTGGTAGTAGTAGTAGTAGTAGTAGTAGTAGTAGTAGTAGTACGACTACTACTACTACGACTACTACTACTACTGCTACTACGACTACTACTACTACTACTACTACTACTACGACGACGACCACTAGCACTACTACTGCTGCTACTACTACTACTACTACTACCATCACGACTACTGCTACTACTACTACTACTACTACTACTACTACTACTACTACTACTACTACTACTACTACTACTATTACTATTACTACGGCTACTACTACTACTACTACTACTACTACTACTACTACTGCGGCTGCTGCTACTACTACTACTACCACGACTACGACGGCGTTCACTATTACTGTTTGTATGATTTCCACTACGACAACCCTTTACTACTACTACTACTACTACTACTACTACTACTGCCACGACTACTAAGTCTACTGGTACGGCTACTACTGCTGCTACGACGACTACTACGACTCTCACCATCACTATTACTATTGCAACTACTACTGCTACTGCTGCTGCTGCTATTACTACTACTACTACTACTACTGCTGCTGCTGCTACTACTACTACTACTACTACTACTACTACTACTACTACTACTACTACTACTACTACTACTACTACTACTACTACTACTACTACTACTACTACTACTACTACTACTACTACTACTACTACTACTACTACTACTACTACTACTACTACTACTACTACTACTACTACTACTACTACTACTACTACTACTACTACTACTACTACTACTACTACTACTACTACTACTACTACTACTACTACTACTACTACTACTACTACTACTACTACTACTACTACTACTACTACTACTACTACTATACTACTACTACCTACTACTACTACTACTACTACTACTACTACTACTACTACTACTACTACTACTACTACTACTACTACTACTACTACTACTACTACTACTACTACTACTACTACTACTACTACTACTACTACTACTACTACTACTACTACTACTACTACTACTACTACTACTACTACTACTACTACTACTACTACTACTACTACTACTACTACTACTACTACTACTACTACTACTACTACTACTACTACTACTACTACTACTACCACTACCACTACCACTACCACTACCACTACCACTACCACTACCACTACGACAACTACGACCACTCCACTAGTTCTTGTTGTATTAAGCTGGATGGCGCAGTCATTGATTTATCGATGTCGGAGGTAGCATGTATTTAATTATTCTGGTGCTGACGGTATCGCTCGGCTGGATCTGATCCCGTTGATTTGTTGGGGGGAAGGGTCAGTGCTACCGATACTGCACGGCGTTCTTGTTTAAGCCGCGGTGCGGAAGTTCGGAAAATAATGGGACGGAACAAATGAACCGAGCGTGCCAATTAGCAGGTGTTCGGGGGTACGTCCCGCTACCGCTTCAGGGCTGTGGGGAGGATATTTCGTGGATGCCTGTGTGTTGGGGCGCCATTTGGAGGCATGTTGGAGTTTCTTTGAGCTGTTCAACAGTCTGTTGGAGCGTTCGTCGAGGCATCTGGCGGCCTTTTGACGCTTCGTCGGGGCCTCTTGGACGGTTCTTGGAGGGCTCTTGGAGGGCTCTTGGGTCTTCGTGGGCGCTGTCAGACAGGCCTCTGGGGTGTTCTCGGGGGCATCTCGGGGGGACAGGTTCGAAATGTCAGTTCGGATGCCTTTTCCTGGGCTTCTCTTGGGGCTCTCTGGTCTGGGCCTTTTTAGGGGGCCTCTTGGGTCGTCTTGGGGCCCTCGTGGGCCGTTTTGAGGCGAACTTGGGATGATCTTGGGAGCCTCTTGGGTCGCCTTGGACGCTGTCAGGGCGCAAAAGGCGAGCATGCTGAAACTGTACGTTCCCGAACGGGGGATCGGGACGATGGTTGGCCCTTGGCGCCTCATGTGGGGTCCTCGCGGAGCCTATTGGGGCGTCTTTGAAGCCACGGTGGGGTCGTCTGGAAACCTTCTAGGTTTCAAGGGAGGAGAAACCACGACACCACTCCAGCCCCGACAGTTGGTGTTTATGGAATGGCCCTGGGTGTTTGCCAAACGGCCCTGCCCTGTTCGATTCCTTCCCTCGGTGCGTTTACTAAGCGGCCTCGCTTGTCGGGGTGCTCAGTATGGGGGCGGATGTTCTGCTCTCTATGTTGGTTGTGATATCCCTTCGGCGTACCAGCTGAGGCGGCATCGTGGGTGTCTTGGAAGGCACGGGGTGTAGGTTTGGAGGCTCTGGAGGCCCCAGGGGTGCGTTCGGGAGTCCAGAACCTCCCCCCCTCCTACTGCTCCCGCCCTCAAACGCGGTGTTGGACCCTCTGGGGAGGGGGAAAATGGGATGGGAATAGCCAAATGTATCACACGCCTGGTCGCCCCTGGCAAGCGGGGTTCGTCGGATTCCCTGTCCGTGTTTCATTTTTTGCGAGCGTCCAAGACAGCCCAAGAGTACTCCAAGGTCGCCTCCAAACAGGCCCCGAGGGTCCCAAGGTAGAGGTTCAGAGCTCAACGTCTCACGCGGTGCCATACAGGCGAGGACCGAGGTCCTCAGGGTATAATGTCGCCCTGCAAATAAAGTGGTCGCAAGGATGATGAAAGATACACCCTTGCATCCTCGGTGACACACCCGAGTTTCCTTGTCCGCGCCGTGTCGTCCCTCTCCTCCTGCGGAGGCGCACTGCTAGGGGCGGGCGGCCTCACATTCTCGCGCAACTCCTTCCGAACTCGGCTGCGCGCTGGTTGTCCAGACGGGGGTGTGCCATCTTTCTGCGTGTCGGCGTCTTGCCTGATTTCGTCCAGAGGGTCTGGTGTGCCTGTGGATCAGAAAGGGGGCTGGCGGACAGCGACCTTCTGCTTCCTTGTGGGCCGGCCAGGAGGCTGAGGAGGAGGAGGAGGAGGAGGAGGGAGGAGGAGGAGGAGGAGGAGGGAGGAGGAGGAGGAGGAGGAGGAGGAGGAGGAGGAGGGGGGAGGGAGGGGGGACGAGGGAGGGGGAGGGGAGGAGGAGGAGGAGGAGGAGGAGGAGGAGGAGGAGGAGGAGGGAGGAGGGAGGAGGGAGGAGGGGAGGGAGGAGGAGGAGGGAGGGGGAGGAGGGAGGAGGGAGGAGGAGGAGGGAGGAGGGAGGAGGGAGGAGGGAGGAGGGAGGAGGAGGAGGAGGAGGAGGAGGAGGAGGAGGAGGAGGAGGAGGAGGAGATAGCGGAGGAGCAGATGGAGGAGGAGGAGGAGGAGGAGGAGGAGGAGGAGGAGGAGGACGAGGAGGGTGAGGAGGGTGAGCTTCTTCGGCCCTCCCGGCGGGTACGCTCGGTACCCTCTTCATGGCCCGCACTCTGAGGCGACGATAGGTGCGAGTACCGTCTGAGTTCCACATGTGGCGTCGATTCGTGTCGAGTTGCGTCCGGTAGTCATTGAGAACGCGTCGATTAGAGTCGGTTGGCGCCGATTGGTGTCTATTCAGCGTCGATCAGCGTCCATTGGTTTTGGCCAATAATATGGTATGGGAGGCTCCCTGAGTTGCCACCGAAGAATGTCCCAGGGGGAGCAATACCCGTATCCAGGGGCGCCCGATGGTCCATGCCTTCTGCGAGGAGGACCATGGGCCATGGGCGAATGCATGTAATGCCCGCCGCTGGGGTCGCCGCGGGCGCTGTCCATCTGAGGCACGAGCTCGCCTGCCCAACAGCGGCCGCTGTCGGTCTTGTACATCAGTTGCGGTTGGGCATCGTACCCATGTTTTCCGCACCCACTGCGGGCGCCCAGAGTCCTCTCAGAGTAGGGGCCCTGGCTCGGAGCAGCTGGCGCCCCGTCCTGAATCAGGAAGCGCGGAGCAGCTGATGCCCCTGGGCCTGTCTCTCGAACGGGGTCGATTCCCTCTGGCCCGCAGGTGGTCCGATGTCGCGATTTCATCCACCGCAGGTCTCCCAGTCCATCCCAGACTTGGATCCCCGATCTCGATCCGATCCGGCACCAGCCGATTCCCTCTGGCCCGCAGGTGGTCCAGCTTCGCTGCTCGGTCCAGCGCAGGCCTCCCGGTCCACCCCCGAAATTTCCACCCCGATCTTCATCCCACACCCAGCACCAGCGGCTTCCCTTTGTCCCGCAGGTGGTCCGGGTTCGTGACTCGATTCGCGCCGCATCGCCGCATCGCCGATGCATTCGCGATGCGGCTCGATGGAGAGCCCGAGTGTCTCCACGCCCACGGCGACGACGCATCGCTGATGCAGCGGCGATGCATCGGCAATGCGGCGCGATCCTGCGACCCCTTGTTTGGGATCGAGCTGCAAACGAAAGAAGTAAAAAAAGGCTACGCGTCGAGTATACGTCGACGTCGTCGAACCCCATCTGGGAGGCCCCTATCTGGGAGGCCTCTATCTGGAAGGCCTCTCTCTGGGAGGCCTCTATCTGGGAGGCCTATATTTAAGTCGGGCATGTTCCCCTACAGGAGGAACATTTCAAAATATATTGAAAATATAGTATGGGGACGATTTTCTGAGTCTGTTTGATGATTTATGGGGTATGTTGTGAGTATTTTGCATCAATTTGTCACCCGGAATCCCCTCGTAGGAGGACGTGCCCGACGTAAGCCTGTATGTGGGCCTCCCCCCCCCCCTCCCTTCCCTCCTTTCCCGGTTCCCATATAGGATCCCTTTCCCATCCCCCCCGGCCTCCCCCCCTTCCCCTTCTCTCCCGGTTCCCGGCGCGCGCGGGGGCCGGGCGGAGGATCGGCATCGTGGTGTGGCGGGTGCTCCGCTACGAGAAGCAGTCGTTCTTCGAGCTAGGCGCGCCTCCGGGCCGCCGCCGGGCCGTGGGGGGGGCGGGCCGAGTCTGTCTCAGGAGGGAAAAAAGCACACAGACACGATTAATCGTCGATTCCCCAGAAAATATGGGAAAATAGGGAAGTGGGGGGGAAGACAAAAACCCAGAAAATATGTGAAAATATGGGGATCTGTTTTATTTGTGTGTATTTATTTGTTTGTCCCAGGGCCCCTTCACTGTCAGCAGCCGATGGATCATCAGTGATGTGTGCCACTTGGGGCTCTCTTGGCGGGGCGTCTTGGAGCCCTCCTGGAGCGTCTTCGGGCCCTGTTGGGCCGTATTGAGACTGTTTGGGGCCGTCTCGGTGCCCTCTATAGGACCGTCTGGGGGGCCTCTCTGGGCACGCTCGGCCCGTCTTGGGTGAGGCCCCCTGGCCTCAGGAAAGATTACGGGACTAGCCCCATGAGGCACGCGAGGATCCCCGCAAGGTTTGGGCCACATCCCAGGAGATCTGTGAATTTGAGGGCCTCTGCCTGTCAAGACTGATTCTCATGCAGGAGACAGGACTCACAGGACCTGAGGACGCGCCGACGCGTGCCTCGGGAGGCCGTTGCGGATAAACATTTGTGCGAATTGGGTCTTTATATATATATATATATATGCACACGCACGCACGCATGCACGCTGGAAGGGAGGGCGGAGGAGCGGGGAGCATTTGGGCGCGAGGCGCAGAAAACGCCTGGGCCGCAGTTCCTCCCGCCCCCGCCGTTGTCTCCAGTCTTCCGGTAGCTTGAAGCTGGAACTTCGGGGGGAACGAGTATATTGCTCAGGGCCTCATCGCCCCAGGGCCCCATGTTTCAGGGCTCCGGATCTGAAGTGCCGACTGTAGGGGACCACATGCGAACCCTACCCCTACCCCCCACGATTTCTGAGGGCGAGGGTGGGGTTCACTTCGCTTGGGAGCTCCCGAACGAAGTGAACCCCACCCTCCCCCTCAGAAATCGTGGGGGGTAGGGGTAGGGTTCGCATGTGGCCCCCTAGGCTGGTCCTCCTCATCCTTCGCCCCTTTGCCAGATTTTCCCTCTTCCTCCCCTTCCTCCGGCTCCCGCGTTCCTCCATCCTCCATCCCCCCCTCCGTGCTCCCCCCCGCCTCCCTCCTTCCTTTTTCCGCTCAGGCTTCTCCCTCCCATCCCCCTCCATTCTCCCACCCCCTCCCGCCCCCCTCCTCCTTGTCCAGAGCTAAGTATAGTCATCATCCGAATTTCAGCTTGCCGCAGCGCCTCCAGGCGATCCCACTCCACCGCGGCGGCGCGCCCAGGCGTGCCACGCCAAACCGCCGGGGTGCCGCTCGCACGCCAGCGAGTGGACGCTTCCTGCGAGGCAGGACGGGGAGAGAGTCTCCTCACCATACACCGGCGTACGAGGAGTCTAAATTCTTTCGTTTCCCCCTCCTCCTCCCAAGTTCCTCTGCCCTCCTGCTCTCCCATCCTCCTTTTCCGATCCTTCCCCTTCTTGCCCTACAGCGACGACGACGCCCAGCGTCAACGACGACGACGACGGCAGCAGCGGCAGCCGTTGCTGAAGCTTCGCCGCGAGGCGCCGTTGGCATGAGCCTCCTTTCCGCGGTTGGATTCATGTTTCCCGTCGCGCTCGTTCCCCCCCCCTCCCTTCGTCCCCCCCCAGACGGTCCAAGAGGCTCTTCAGGACGGCCCAAGGACCCCATGAGAGCTCCGAGGTGGTTCCGAGCGCGGCCCCAGATGCCCCCATGCGGCCCCAGGCGGCCCCAGAGAAACCCCCCAAGGCCCTTACAATGCCTCTCCCCAAAAACCTATGTTCCTCCCTTTCCTCCCCTCCTCAGTCGTCGTCGCCGTGACCGCCGCCAGTGCCGCCGCCGTCGCCGTCGCGCTCGTCGTTTTCGTCGTCGCCCCTCCCTATTCCGCGTTCCCTACCTCTCCTCCCCTGGCGCCATTGGCGTCGCTTTCATGTCCACGGGTGGCATCGGTTTGGGCGTTACCCCCCCCCCCCATCCGGAACCCCTCCCCCTCTCCCTCCTCCTCCTCCTCCTCCTCCTCCTCCTCCTCCTCCTCCTCCTCCTCCTCCTGCCTCTCTTCTTTTTGTTCCTCCTCCTCCTCGTCCTCCTTCTTCTCTTGCTCCTCCTTCTCCTCTTCGTCGTCCTTCCCCTCCTCCCTCTCCTCCTCCCTCGCGTATTCTGCTTATTTTCAGTATTAGTATCCTTAGTTTGGTTATTATTAGTCGCATGATTCGTATCGTCAGCTTATTCGTATCCGTCTCATTGTCCATATTATGTTTGTTTGCTCAGTATTTTTCTTCATCTCATTATTATTAGTATTGCCCCTATTGTTCCTCATCGTCTTCTTCTTCTTCTTCCTCCTCCTCCTCCTACTACTACTCCTTCCCTTGCCCCTCCTCCTCTTCCTCCTGCTCCTCTCTCTCTCTCTGTATTTCTTCCTCCCCCTCCTCCTCCTCCTCCTCCTCCCTCCTCGTCCTTCCCTTGCTCCTCCTCCTCCCTCTCCTCCTCATCGTCCTCCTCCTCTTCCTCCTCCTCCTCCTTCTCCCTCTTACTTTTCCTCCTCCTCCTTCTCCTTCTCCTCCTCCTCTTCCTCCTCCTTCTCCTCCTCCCCCCATCCTCGCTCCTCCTCCTCCTCCTCCTCCTCCTCCTCCTCCTCCTCCTCCTTCTCCTCCTCCTCCTCCTCCCCCTCCCCCGCGTGCTGCGGCCCGCGCCCGCGGCGCTCCCCGCAGCCGCCGGCGGCTGCGCATACTGCTCGGCAGTGTTTGTCGGCCTGGTGGTCGCGTTCGTCACCATCTACAAGAGCCGGATGACGGAGGTCCAGGCGCGCGAGGCGCAGGCGGCGCCTTCTGGCCCGCGCCGTCGCCGCCACCGCCGCCTGCATTCTTCGGCAGGCAGGGGTGGCACCCTGAGAGGCAGGATCGAGGATCGAGGCAGGATCGAGGCAGGGTTGCCACCCTGAGGCAGGGGTGCCCCCCTGAGGTCTGCCTGAGGCAGGATCGAGGATCGACCTCCCTCTCCTCCTCGGCCTTCCTCCTCCCTGGCAGCATGGGGAAGGTCCCCTCTTCGACCGTCCTCTTCCTCCTCCTTCTCCCTTGCCTCCTCCTCTTCCTCCTCTTCCTCCTCCATCCCTCTTCCTTATACATAACTTCGCCCTGTCGCACCCCGAGACGTGTCCTAAGGACAGTCAAGGCGTTTTGCCTGAGACGTCCTCACCTTTCATGACCCTTAAGCTTAGAATTTGCAGCAGTTTCACGGATGGAGGGCGGGTCGTTTTCAAATTGAGATTTCCGCCTTAGCGCCGCGCATATTGGTTTTAAACATGTTGCAAGAGCTTTGCGGATGGAGGGTGGTTCGTTTTCAAAATCTGGCTCGCGGCGCGCACAATCGTTATGTCAATGGTCGGGAACCACTGACGAGCAAAAACGCAGGAAAGCAAAAATATCATGCTTCGCAATTTTGTTTTTTTGCTGGGCGGATTTTGATTCGCCGCGCGCCCCGCGTCGGGGAAAAGCGCGGTGCCCGCACAATGCGCGGCGACATGCGGGGAGGTTGTGCGATGGCAGGCGTCTGTTAACGCACAGTAGTTGAAAACCGCGATCACCTTAGACGGCCAAAGATGGCCCCGTGGGGCCTCCCAAGACAGTTCCCCATATCGGGGAATCGCAATGTGTTGGCGTCGGCTTGTTGTGTTGTTGGAAACGTGACGAGGTCTTGAGTCGCGTTGCTATTTTTCTGTGTTCTTGGTGTGCCCAGCGTGCTGTGTGTTCTATGTGTACCCGCCGTGTTTGGTTTGATTGTGATGACTGGTGTGCCGCGTTTTTTCGTTCACCGCCGCCCCAAGAAGGTCGATCATAACATTTGCCGGCCACTATCGCCATCCATCAGTTTGTTCGCCGTCATCCTCGTAATCCGTCGCAAGATGGGGGCAGTGAAAAGGAACGGCGCGGGGAGAGCAAAAATTGAGGGGTAAATTTGGATTCCCCGGAGGGAGAGCAAATCTCCTCCCAGGCCGTCCTCGAAACCGTCCGCGCGCACCGTCGGGAAAAACCGCCTCCATCTCACCCCAAAAAATTTGCTCTCCATCTTTTCGTGCATGCAGGAGGGCCCGGCGCTGCAGACATCCTCTATTTTTTTTTGCTCTCCCAGATTTGCTCTCCGCCTCTTTTTTTTTGCTCTCCAGATTTGCTCTCCCAATTCGCCTCCTCGCGAGGGCCTTTCGCTCGCCTCCGTTTGGGAAGGGGTCGTAGGGATTCTCCATTGGATGGGACAGGGGCCACGAAAAGGGTAACGGAGGGAGGATGGGGTGAGGGGGGAGGAGGGAGAAGGGAGGAGGGGGTGAGGGAGGCCGGGAAGGGGAGGGGCAGGGGAGGGAGGAGGGGGAGGCGCAGGAGCAGGAACACGAGAGGGAGGAGCATGAACAAAAGGACGGAGGAACATTAGGGGGAGGAGCAGGAGGCGGAGGGGGAGGAGCAGGAGCAGGGGGGAGGAGGAGACGATCAGGAAGAGGAGGGGGAGGGGGGAAGATGGGGAGGGAAGATGGGGAATTGTGAGGAAGAGCAGGGGCAGGTGAGGAACATGCGTTTTGCTGCGTTCCTGTTGTTGCTTCTGCTGTTCCCTCTCGTCCTTACTGATTCTCTCCATTTTCGTCCTCGTATTTGCTTTCGTGCGAATCCTGAGAGATCATCGTTTTTCGGCTACTCAACCACTCGTTCTCTCCCAGAAAATGAATTAAAATTACAAGATTTTCTTAATAGATTTGCTTAATGGGGTCCGCGTCAGTGCTTGGCCACCAGTGAGTTATGGATGGAGGGCTGTTCTTTTCCACAATGTGGTTCCCGCTTTAGTGCCGCGCGCATTCGTTTTAAACGTTTGCTGGAGTTTCATGGATTGAGGGCGGTACCTTTTTAAAAATTGTGGATCTCGCCATAGCGCCGCGCATGTTCTTCTTCATGGCTTGCAGCAGTTTCACACATTTTCATTGTTAACGCCCCAGAAATGGTTTTGGAACGACTGTCAGGGCACAAGAGCTACGTTGACTCGGGGTTTTGAAGTCGCACGAATGGTATTCTGACACGACTCAGGATCGTCTAGACGCAACAGTCAGGTTGATTCGTGGCGTCGAAGTCCCAGGAGTGGTGCTCCGGCACGGTTCAGAATTTTCAAACGCTTGTCTTCAAGGGGCCTATGAAGAGGGAGCTTGGGAGGAAGGTTTATTGCAGCATCGTTGATGAGTTGATGCGGATGCGGCGAGGGCCCATCCCCCCCCGCCGTGACGAGCCGTCGGTGCAGTCGATCCAGGGGGATGCCCAAGGGAAGAGTGCTGCAGCACACGGCCCCCCATGATCCCCAGACGTGTGTGGTTGTCCAGCGTGTGGTTTGGAGCCGTCGGGGGGTCTGAGGTGGCCCGGCACCGGCTCCGGCCAGCAGCACGGGCGGGCAGGCTCGAGGTGCTGGCTTCAGGAAGGTGATGTTTTTGCTTTGTTCGGGCTCCGGGGGCCGTTGTCGGGCTCCCGAAACATGGCACGCGATGGACCCCGGAAGGGGTCTTGGGTCTGGGGACCGATTTTGACCAGATTTAGGGGAACCAGAAGTGACATGAACATAAGAACTCTGAGGTCCGCGCGGATTTCTCGGATCGGCGCTGGACCCCCCTCCCTGGCGCGCGGAGCGCGCCAGGGGCGGCGCTGGAGGCGCCGCCAGGGGGGTCCAGCGCGGATCCGAGAAATCCGCGCGGACCTCAGAGTTTTTATGTTTATGTCACTGTTTGTTTCCCTATTGGGTCTGGGGACCGATTTTGACCAGATTTGGCCTCATCCCCCCGTCCTGACCAATTTCCTGACCAGTTCAGATCCCCCGGGCGCCTCCAACGTGTGTTTTTACTTACCCCTACCTACACGGAGGCCGTATCGGCCCTCAGCACGGCGCTTGCGTGGCGCGGGGGGCTTCGGCAGACAGGCACTTGCCGGCGCTATAGCAGCTGTAGCAGGCTCTCCGAGGATCACCGAACCATGCGGGCACGGAGCTGGAGTCCGGCGGGCTCCGAGAAGGGGACGAGAGATGAACGCACGGCAGCGAAGGTAACAGCGGAGACACAGCCTTCGCCTACCACAGCATCGCTCGTCGTGTGCGCGCGGATTCCCGTAACTACTTACCCGATGGCCACCTTGACAATCGGAGCTGTCGGGGGGGAACACATTGTCAATAAGAACCCTCCGCTGGGAGCCCGTCAACGTGTTACTCCTTCGTTTTTGTTCCGTAGGCCTGGTGCTTCTTCAACAGTGCCACTCTAGCGGGTCCCCAGTTCCCCACGGCAGCGTGTCGTTGATACCGTTTTTGCTCCCCCCTTCCTGGCACAGGCACGCGGGCGCGAGCTCCCCATGTGCCTGCGAAGCGCGTGATGGGCGTGCCACAGCCGGGTGGTGGGAGAGAAGATGGAGGAGGATGGGGGGGAGGAGGATGGGAAGGATGAGGGAAGGAATACTGGACGCGGGGCGTCGCTGATTCAAAACCAGGACCCCGTACCACTTTATGGCAACCTGCACTTCGCGGGGGTCGGCCCAGCGCTCAGGCTGGCGTTCAAGCCTGGGGCGCTGGCGTGGCCCGCAGCGGCAGGCGGGCGCTGGCACCGTCGCGGGGCGCGGGACGGCCGACGCGCCCGAAACGGCTGCGGGCCCTGCGAGCCACGGGTCTGACGTCGGGGAACAAACATCTGCACGCACGAAATGGGTACTGAAAGAATGGGTACCATGCCCAACAGCGGATCTTGTTCATTTTGAACAGGGCTCGCTGTCCACGCCGCCGCGGCCTGTGTCCATTCGAGACAGGAGGCCGCCTGCCCAACAGCGGCCGCTGTTGGTTTGGGACAACATTTGCTGTTGGGCATTGTACCCATTCTTTCGGTACCTAGATTCGGAGGTTCGCTCGGATTCCTCGGATCCGCTTTGAGCCCCATGCTTAGCGCGCCAGGTGCGGCGCCGGAGGAACCGCCAGGAAGCCCCAGCGCCGATCCGAGGAGTCCGTGCGGACCTCCGAGTTTGTATGTTTATGCCATTGCTTGTGTCCCTATAGTGGGCGGAGGGACGAGGGATGGAGGGAGGAAGCGAGGGAGGAGGTGTAATATGAGACAAATGAGAAGTAGAAGGAACTGATGAGGAGGAGGAATGTAAGGGAAAGGGTGGCAGGAGATGGTGGGTGGGGACGAGGCGGGCGAAGAAGGATGGACATCGAATTTAACCAGGAGGAAGCGATGTGAATCTGATAGTGGTGGCAGGAGAAGAAGGGCGAGGAGGAGGAGGAGGAAGAGGGTGCTCGGCAGGGCCGAGGAAGGATGGAGCAGTGCTTGAGCGGACCTGTAGGTGAAAGTAACTGTGTCTGGTTCGGGGGAGGATGCCAAGGAAGCGGAGGGACGACGAGGATGGAGAGACAAGAGGATGAAGAGGGGGAATATGAGGAGAGACGACGAGCGCCCTCCTCATCGCTCCTCTTCCCCCGTCCTCCCTGGAGTCCTCCCTCCTGCTCACTCCTCCCTCCTTCCTCCTCCCGTCGCCGTCCCTTCCTCCTTGTCGTTTCTTTTCCTCCCTCCCTGTTCTCCCTTTTCCCTCCTGCTACGGATCTCTCCTCTTTGAGCGCTTATTTCCTCCTGAGGAGCCAGAGGATCGTCAGGACGAAGGCGAGGAAGTCGAGGGTGCATTCCGAGCAGGAGGGGAGGAGCAGGAAGAGGAGGAGCAGGATAAGGGAACATGATGGAGAAGACAGGTACGAAGAGAGAAACAGCAGCGGCAGGAGGATGGGGGGGAGAAGGAGGAGGGCGGAGAAGGAGGGACGATCAGCGCACCCTTGCTGCCTCCTCCTGTTCTAGCCTGCTGTCCTCCCCTCCCTCCCTCCCTCCTCCCCCGCCCTGGAGCAGTCGCAACGCCGTGACGAAACGCGGCCGAGGCAGTCGACCCCGTCCCGCCGCTGCGCACTCCTCGCGCCGCACTCCGCCCGTCGCGCGGGCCCCCCCCCCCGAGCGGGGCCCCGAAGCCCGCAACGGGGACGCCGGCCGCGCGCCTGGCTGTTCCAAGACGCCCCGAGACCACCGGCTAGACGTAAGAGTGACCTTTCGCCGGAGTGACCTTGGATGCGGGCCCAATGTCGGGGGCCCCCAAACGGGGTGGTGACCACACCGTGCGGTGAGTCGGTGGGGATTTGGGGTCACCGCACGGTGGGGATTCGGGGTCACCGCACGGTTTTGGGACGTCTCGGTCGATTGGGGCGTCCGAGGTCCCAAAGCCGTGCGCTGACGGACCGTGCGGTGAGGTCTTGGGGGATTTCGAGGCCACCGCACTGTCTGTCACCGCACCGTTTCGGGACTCCAAACCATGGGCTCCCGCGATCGCCGAAGGCGATGCGATAGTCTCTCGCGCTCGTGTTTAGTCCTCCCGCGGCCCCCTAAAAGCCGCGCACCAGAGGTCGCTCTCACGCAGAGTCACCCTTGCGTGTGGCGGAGACCAGGGCCTCGCCTCCCTCCCCTCTCAGAGCAGGAAGCGGTACCAGTACTGCTGCGTTTCCCTCGCTTTCCCCTTTGGGGGCCTCCTGGCAGGCCTTCATCGCCACTGCTGGATCCGCCTCGAAACTCTGGGCAGAACGCACCGGGGAGTAGCGGTATCGGTATTTGTTTGTTTCCGCACGCCCTGGCCCTCTGGCCAACACCCAGGCCCCAGGCGCCCGCCCGGGGCGAGCGTGGGCTCCCTCTGGAGGGCCCCCAGCGGGGCGCGGCCGACGGGGCACACCCGGGAGCCCCAGCAGCCCCCCTCCTCGGCCACCCGTAAGAGTGACCCTTCGCCAGAGTGACCTCCGGCGGGACCCACACGGGGATCTTCCCAGCACTGGCCTGAAGCAGTTTGCGCGCTCCGATCGGGCCCCCGCGCCGCCCCTGAAGGTCGCATCGCGCACGACAAGTCAGGTTTGCCTATAGGATCGCTCTTGCGTGTAGCCGAGCCCCACCCCACACCCGGAAGCCCCCAGCTTCCCCCAAGAATCCCCCAGAGCCTTCTGGCGTCGATGGGGCTGCTGTGCCGCCGCTCTTTTGTTGGCGTGGGCGGGCAGTCGGTGGGATCGGTGGTGTGCCAGCTGGTTCTGGGTCATGGTTACTGGGCCTTTGGGTGTTGGCTGCCGGTCTGTCTGTTCTGCTTGTGGTGCTGCGGGGAGGGGGGGCGGGCGCCCTCCTGTTGGCTCCGAGCGAGGCGGTTAGGCGGTTCAGCACCGCGAGTTGGAATCACTCCAGGGAGCCGCGGGAGTTTGTCGATCTTTCCAGCGTGCAGGGCCGACGCGCCCCTCGGCCAGAAAGCAAGAGGAGAAGGAGGAGGGAGGCGGGGGGCAGGACGATCGCTCCCAGCCTGTTGCGAGGCGGTAAGACGGTTCAGCCTGAGGAGTTCTCAAGACGGCCAGTCTGATGAGCGTCTCAGTGCCCAGGACCGCTATGGCTGAGGGGCTTCGACGACCGAGGATGAGGAGAAGGAGGAGGAGAAGTAGGAGGAGGAGACCGAGGACGAGGACGAGGAGGAGGAAGGAGGAGGAGGAGGGGGGGAGGAAATAGAGGAGAAGGAGGAGGGAGAAGGAGGAGGGAGAAGGAGGAGGGAGAAGGAGGGAGAGAGGAGGAGAGAGGACGAGGAGGACGAGGAGGAGGACGAGGAGGAGGAGAGGAGGAAGGAGGAGGAGGAGGAGGAGGAGGAGAGGACGAGGAGGGAGGACGAGACGAGGAGGAGAGGAGAGGAGGAGGAGGAGGAGGAGGGGGTGGAGGAAATGAGGAGGAGGAGTGGAGGAAATGGAGGAGGGAGGAGGAGGAGGGAGGAGAGGAGGAGGAGGAGGATGTCGAGGAGGAGGACGAGGAGGAGCAGGAGGAGGAGGAGGAGGATAGGGAGGGGGAGAGGGACGACAATAATGAGGAGCAGGGAGCAGGAGGAGGAGGAGAAGGAGGAGGAGGAAGAGGAGGAGGAGCAGGAGGAGGAGGAGGAGGAGGAGGAGCAGGAGGAGAGGGAGGGGGAGGGGGGGGGCAGGGGGAGGTGCTCCGCGGTGTCCCGTGGAGGGGTGGCCCTGGAGAGGGGACGGGCGAAGGCTGCCCCTTCGGTGTTCCCAGGGAGAGGCCGGGGCGGAAGGCGGAAGAGGGAGGTGCAGGTCGCCAGCGGGGGCGAGGAGGGAGGAGGTTGGGACGCAGCGGTCCTCAGATCTGCCTCCGAGAGGTGCATGGAGGGAGGGGGAGGGAGGATTGCGGAGGGGGCGAGAGGGAGGACTGCGGAGGGTTGAAGGGTTGAGGGAGGAGGTGGGACAACCATGCAGAAGGAGGAGGCAGAAGGAGGAGGCGGAGCAGGAGGAGAGGGGGATGAGGAGGAGGGAGGAGGAGGAGGAGGAGGAGGAGGAGGAGGAGGAGGAAGAGGAGGAGGAGGAGGAGGAGGAGGAGGAGGAGGAGGAGGAGGAGGAGGAGGAGGAGGAGAAGCGGGAGCCGTAAGGAAGTAGATGCGGGCGTTTGCCCCCAGCTTGTGGCGAGGCGGTTAGACGGTTCAGCACCAGAAGTTCCCAAGACGGCGGGGACGGCCCTTCTGGAGATCGGTTAAGTGATGAGGACCGCTCGCTTGCCGAAAGGCCTCGCTTTTCGAGGAGGAGGAGAAAGAGGAGGAGGAGGAGGAGGAGGAGGAGGAAGACAAGGTTTCAGGGGGCTTGTGGACTGCCCTGTGGCGTCCTGGGAGTTTCTGGGCAAGGGGGGGGCAATGGACGAGGGAGACGGGATGAGTTTCACAACGGCGGACATTTCGAAGTTGGGGGCGGACAATGGTTACGAATTGGTCATGAGAGATGAGGAGAGGAGGAGAAGAAGGAGGAGGAGGATGAGGAGAAGGAGGGGGTGCTCCTCCTCCTCCTCCTCCTCCTTCTCCTCCTTCTCCTCTTCGTCTTCCTCCTCCTCCTCGTCCTCCACCTCCTTCCCCCCTCCAACTTATTGTGGTGGTGGACAACAGGCCCATCATGGTTGGCGATCGACGCCTGCGCATCCCCTCGTGCTCCTCCCGCTCCTTGCTTGGGGAGGCCAAGAGTCTAGCAGGCCTCCCAGATGGGGTCCGAGCAGATGTGGTCAGAGGATCGCGCTGCCTCGGCGATGCATCGGCGATGCGGCTCGATGCTGAGCCTGATGTTCTCCATTCCAGCGTCGCCAATGCATCACCGATGTCATCGAGAATGCGGCGCGATCGCCGACCCCATCAATAGGGGGGTGATGAACAGGGTGTGAGGGAGCGGGATATCCTGGGCCATGCCCTAATGGGCACGGGCGGGCTCCCCGGAGGAGTGCGCACGACTCCAGCGTTCGCTTCGCTTCGCTTCGCTTCTTGGGCCCCGCGGCGGCCAACAGTTTACCCAGGGAGATGCCCACCCCACCTGCAACGCGTGGCAACGTCGGTGGGCCCAGCCTCAACGAGTGATCGTACGACACGGCACGCGATCTCCTGTGAGATCTGCACAGGGAGCCTATGCGCTCCACGCTCCGTGGGCGAAGCATGATGCAACCGCCAAGGACAGGACAGATGGGGAAGGACCTGATGACGATGTCCACGATAAGGACTTTTTCTAGGACAGCAGGCGTAATACTATGTCATATGAAGGGAGACGAGGACAACGGGGCGACAGAGACGCAGCAAGTGCGGTGATGACGAACGGTTCCGTGTCACCCGAGGCATGTTCCCCGCACTGTTCCGCACGGGCTTTACCGATCCGCAGCAGCGACACCAGATCCGCTGGCGGCCTCCGGTCGAGGGCGTCCGTGCCCGGGACGCGGACCGCGAGCCGACTCTCCGAGGCCGTGGCGTGGGACAGCATCACGTGCAGGCGCAGCATGGAGTGGCTTGGGGCCTGAGGTGACCAAGCATTGGTTCTGGCCAGCAGGGTTCTTGGCCCGAGAGGGTGTTTGCCTTGCTCGGTCTCTGGGGGCCGTCTTCGAGCCCCAGGCCCGGGACCGTCATGAGCGGATCCGTGGTGAGAAAGTGCTCCGGAATGACCTCGGGAGAGGTCCGCGGTCTGATTCTGAGCTGACTGATTTGCCGTTCTCTCCCCTTCTCTCCCCTTCTTGATCGATTTTCGCAAGGTCCGCCCAGTTCTGATCCCCCGGCCGCCTCCAACATCACGCATACGTGCAGCCAGATCCCCCCCCATGGAATGCAGCAGAAAGTGGGGACATCTGCACGTCTTGGGACGCCCACGGAGGCGAGGCCTAGTTTGGCCCCTCATAGTCAGGAGGTAAGATAGACACAGACACATAAATGTCGATTCTCGGGAACGTGTGGAATAATATGGGAAGTGGAGGGGAAGACCGAAGTCCAGAAGATATTGAAAGGTATGGGGGGTCCTCGAATTTGTGACTATCCCCCGTGTGTGGCGTCGCCCCGCGGGGCGTGCCAGGAGCTCACGAGAGTGGCGACGGGTGAGCAACTGGCTGCACCCAGCAGGGCGGCGAGGTGGAGTTCTCGGGCCTCTTTGAGACGTCGCTCCTCTGGGCACCCCAGGAGCGCACGAACATGGCGACCTCTGCGCAGTGGGCAACGCCGAGACTGGCGAGGTTCAGTTCGGGCCATTTTTGGATGTCGCTCTGCTGGACCTTCCGAAGAGTACAAGAAATTGGCAACCTCTGCGCAGTGGGCAGCGCCCAGACTGACGACGCACAGTTCCTTCCCAAGAGTACAAGAATGTTGCAACCTCTGTGCAGTGGGCAGCGCCCAGAGTGGCGAGGCATAGTTCGAGTCCTTTTCGGATGTCGCTCAATAGGACCTTCCAAAGAGCTCAAGAAAGTGGCAACCTCTGCGCAGTGGGCAGCGCCCAGAGTGGCAAGGCATAGTTCGAGTCCCTTTCAAATGTCGCTCCGCTGAATCTTCCAAAGAGTACAAGAAAGTGGCAACCTCTGCGCAGTGGGCAGCGCCCAGAGTGGCGAGGCATAGTTCGAGTCCCTTTTAGATGTCGCCCCGCTGGACCTTCCAAAGAGTACAAGAACGTGGCAACCTCCGCGCAGTGGGCAGCGCCCAGAGTGGCGAGGCATAGTTCGAGTCCCTTTCAGATGTCGCTCCGCTGTACCGTCCAAACCGTACAAGGGGACCTCTCTGCGCCTAGTGCTCGAAATGTCCGTTCGGGTCCCTCGTCTGGGCCCGCTCTTGGAGCCGTCTTGGGAGCCTTTTCGGCCATCTTGGAGGCCTCTGGGGCTGTCTTGGGGCCCTCGGGTGCCGTTTTGGGCGCTATTGAGGCCTTTTGGGCCGTGTTGGGGCGATCCTGGAAGCCTCTTGGACCGTCTTGGATCGCCGGTAAACCGAAAAAGCGAGAACGCCAAAAACTTGCAAAAAACTGCAGGAAACTCACTGATGTCTGCCGGTGTGGGCCTTCCTGGGAGGTCTCTTGGAGGCCTCTTGGCGCGTCTTGAAGGCGCTTCGGGCTGTCCGGAGGCTATCTCTGGCGTCCTGGACCGCTCTTGGACCGCCTCGGACCATGTTGAGCTCTTCTGGGGCCACTCGAAGCGCTCCCGGAGCGCTCTTGGGAGCCTGCTGGGACCTGGCCGCGACCTGCCCAGGACCGTGCCGGGGCCTGCCCGGGACCTTGCCAGGGTATTTTTCGCCCGGGGACCTTCGGGCACGCGCGCGCGAATTGGAGAGAAATAGTGTTGACGAATTGCCAGAGATCGTGGCACGCCCTTGGCCCGTTGGGCTGGCGATTCTGCTCTACTGTCCCCCTGTAAAAGATTCCACGGAGACCGAACGATGCGATTGATAAATGCACACATGTATGTTTGTATACATGTCTGTTTGTACACACGCACGCACGCGCAGTTATCCAGTCTGGATCACGCGTCTGGTTTCCGCGTTTGGCTTCCGCGTCTGGCTTCCACTCCAGGTCGCAGGGCGTGTCAGTTGCAGCACGTTCGCGGCCCAGATTGGGTGCGCAGGGGGTGGTCCCTGAACGCAGTCTCTATCCATGCCAAGTTCGCAAGGCGTGGCAGGCGTGGCCTGACGCCAGGCGGGGGTGCGCACGAATCCGCCCATGCATTCGGAGCGCCAGGGCGGTCGCAGGGACGTCCCCGGCGGTCTGGTTTGCCCCGTTTTCTTTTTGGTTTTTACTTGCGCGCCACATCGCTGGGATTATTTGTGTCTCCAACCTAGTTTTGAAGAGACACCGTCCCGCGTCCCCTCCCCCCGTCATCATCATCATCATCATCATCAGCATCATCATCCTCCTCATCATCATCATCATCATCATCGTAATCATCATCTTCATCATCATCACCATCATCATCATCGTCATCACCATCATCAGCATCACCTTCATCATCACCGCCACCATTATCGCCACCATCATCATCATCATCATCATCATCACCAACAACAACAACAACATCACACGCACTCCGCTTCGTGGCCCCATAGGGAGCTCCACCGAAGGTCCCAGCGGCGGAAGTCGCATGCAGTTCCTGCACCCAGTACAGCGCTTCGTGGCCCCATAGAGAGCTCCACCGAAGGTCCAAGAGGACGAATTCGCATGCAGTTCCTGCACCCAGGACAGCGTTTCGTGGCCCCATAGAGCTCCAGCGAAAGTCCCAGTGGTGGAACTCGCGTGCGGTCCCTGGGCCCCGAGCGGCGCTTCGTGGCCCCACAGGGAACCCCACCGAAGGTCCCAGCGGCTGAAGTCACACGCGGTTTTTGCGCCTAGTACAGCGTTTCGTGGCCCCATAGGGAACCCCACCGAAGGTCCCAGCGGCAGGGTTCACATGCGATTCCTGCGGTCCTGACAGCGCTTCGTGGCCCCATAGAGAGCTCCCCCGAAAGTCCCACTGGCGGAACTCGCACACGGTTCCTCCGCCCAGTGGGGTGTTTCGTGGCCCCAGGCATTTCCACCGAAGGTCCCACTGGCGGAATTCGCACGCGGACCCAGCGCCCAGTACAGCGCTTCGTGGCCCCACACGGAGCTCCATCGAAGGTCCCAGCGGCGGAAACCGCTGCGTGGTCCCACGGCGAGCTCTAGCGAAGGTCCAAGCGGCGGAACTCGCATGCGGTTCCTGCGCCCAGTACAGTACTTCGTGGCCCCATAGGCAGCTCCACCGAAAGTCCCATTGGCGGAACTCGCATGCGGATCCTGCGCCCAGTGCAGCGTCTCGCGTCCCCACCGGGAGTTCGACCGAAGGTCCCCATAGCGGAACTCGCATGCGGTTCCCGCGCCCAGTATAGCGCTTCGTGGCCCCATAGGAAGCACGCCTTTCACAAACATCTTGGCCACATAGCCTGGGCTCGAGCGGTTCGCAGCCAGACTTCTTTCCGTCCTGTAGACTCTCGCATTGGGCCGTCGGCTGTCCAGCGCGCCGATCCTTCGGCCGACGTCGCCCACGCGTGATCCTGGATTGCGGCCGCCACGAGATCGTGATCGGCACGTGCTGGTCCTCGCGCGCCACGCGCCACGACGACCTCCTGCTCATGCGGGCGCCGCGGATCGAGTTCTTCCCAGCAGGGCCGCCTGAGGGTTTGCGGAAGCAGCTAGAGCAGTTTTCGGCGCGCACAAAGCGTTGCCGGAAGGACGCGACGGCCCTTGTTAGGGAGTTGGGCCTCACCGAGTTTATCCGCGAGACCTGTCCAGGGAAGCGGCCCACCCGAGCTTCGCCTTCTCTCGACGGTCTGGCTGTTTGGCCCCGCGCCGCGGACGACCCGCGCGCGTCGCCGGGGCCTTGTCGGAACGACTGGCGCGCGTCGCTGGACTTCATGCCGCGCTCTGCCCAGCACCTTGCTTGCTCGTCGTCGCTCTGCCTAGCGGCCAGAGCCTTGCCCGCAATCGGCTGGCGAGTTAGCTGCGTTTGCTCTTCGCAGCGGGCGACCCGCGCGCGTCTGGGACCCAGAGGGAAGAAAGAGAAGGGAATCGCCATCTTGGGCTGTCGAGCTTTGCTCGCCGCCCCCCGTTGGAAAAAGTTGCGGAAAGAGGGGCCCGCGCCGAAGGTCCTGCAGGGAACTCCACCGAAGGCCCCAGTGGCAGCGCCCGCGTCCCGCCGCCGTTCCATTATGGGACGCCCCTCGCACGGTTCGTGCCCCCGCAAGGAGATCCGACGAAAACGTAAATTACATGCGCGGGGCGTTGATTGCTTCCCCGGGCCCATGTGCCATAACCGTTTATATACATTACGCGCCCCAGCAAAAAAACTTCGAGAGGGGCCCGAGAGAGTTTCCATGGCGGGCCCAAGAGGGCCCCCCATAATATCATACCAAAAGCCCGTGGTATGACATCGTCCGCGGCCTTTTCGAGGGCCCTCCTGTGCCACTATCGGGGCTTCGGTGGGCCTTGGTTTGGCCCCACAGGCGGCCCAGGAGGGACCGAGGTAGCCCCGGTCGAGCTTCGAGAGGGCGTGCAGTTTCTGGACGGTGGACATTTGTACTTTCGTACCGCGCCTTGTGCGTATGTATCATGCGAGAATTCCGCGTTCGGGACAAGGGGCAATAAAGACCCGAGAGGGCCCCGCATAATTCCAATGCTGCCATATTTTGTTTGTGTCTGACGGAACGAGCAGAAAGAATGATGTGGGAGGGGGAGAAGGAGAAAGAGGAGGACACGCAGGAGTAGGAGGAGGAGGAGGGGGAATTCAGGATGATAGCTCGAGCAGGAAGTTTGGTGGGGGGTGGCAGTCATGACGACGCAATGTAGATTTTTCCGATCAGATGTCCCTTGAAATGCTTGGCCCGTTCGCGGAATACGTATTCATGTGCGCACTTCGGTGTGCACGTCCATTTTTTGGTTCCCTTCCCAGAAGGAGGCAGAGGAGGAGGAGGAGGAGGAGGAGGAGGAGGAGGAGGAGGAGGAGGAGGAGGAGGAGGAGGAGGAGGAGGAGGAGGAGGAGGGAAAGTTGAAGAGGGGGAGGAGGAGGAGGAGGAGGAGAAGGAGGAGGAGGAGGAGGAGGAGGAGGAGGAAGGCAGGAAAAGGGCAAGGAAGAGAAGGAACACGATGAACACGAGCACGAGGAACGCCTCGTCCTGCTCTCGTCCGGGATATTGTCCTCCCGCCCCTGCGGGCAGCGGAACAGCCGCTGCGTGCAGTGCGCGGCGTTGCTAGGCCCGCCGCGCGCGCGCTCCCCGCGCAGCTTGCTCCGCAGTGTCCACTCCTCTTTCCGCCGCCCCCCCCTCTCTTCCACCCAGCGCGTTGCACTACTCGCGAGGCGCCTAGTCGCAAACTCCCGAAAATAAAACTACACGTTTGCCCCGGTGTAGTGGATCGTAGATCCTCCGCAGTGGATCCAGGCCATTGACGAGTAGTTACTTTGCGAGGAGTGGAACACGTTTGTCCACTCTGCCCGCACAGCGCGGCGCTCGTCGTCCCTGCCTCCTTTTCCCTCGCTTCGCTGCCGTCCTTTCCCGTCCGCCCCCCCCCGCCTCCTCCCGCCAGGGACTCTGCACCAGAAACTGCTCCGAGGCCATAAGTTCGGCGGCGGATGTGTCGACCGTCGAGACCTTTATTCCTCGATCCCCGACTCCTCGAGGATAAATGAACCCCCAACCTTACCACCGTAGTGAAGGTGTGGCCTCGCTGAAGTCCCCGTTTTCGCATTGAGGATCACAAGTTTGGGCGGTTTGGCATGACACGTCTGCAGAAAAGACCCCCTATCCCTGATGCTGCTGGCCCTCCGAATCTGGGTCCCCTCCCAAGGGGACAGGGGCACTTCTACTGTTTCTCAGCGCCCCCCCGCGTCCGCCCTCCCCTCGCTGTCGTTCCCTCTCCCTGCGGTGCGGCCCCGCCGCAGGAGTCGGGGGAGCAGCGCTCCGCCGAGCTCGCGGCGGCCAAGGACCCGTCGGGCCGGCAGACCTCCGACAAGGACCCCCAGTCCGGGGAGCTCGGCGTCGGGTGCGCCGCGGGGGGGGCCAGAGGAGGAACAGGTGCCCATACTGCCACCTCTGCCCCGTGTTCCCTTTTCTGGGGGCCTCCTGGGAGGCCCTCGTCGCCACCGCTGGATTCGCCTCGAGATCCTGCTCAGGACGCGCCCTGGGGATGGGTCCAGGGAGTAGTGGTATCCTTGCCTTCGAGTTTCCCCAGGAGGGGGTGTCGGGGTGGACGGAAGTGGCCGGGCGGGGCAAGGGCGAGGAGAGCTCCGTTCCAGAACGTTCCCGAACGCTCTCTGCGCGTTCTATAACGGTTTGAGAAGGCCGCGTCGCCCGAGACATACTGCCAGAGCCGCCGGATCTCAGAGATTCTGGATTTATCCTCAACCGAACTGATCCTCGGCCTGGCTTCGTCTTAGGGATTGGGACAGGGGGTGTACGATACAGCGGAGGCCCATGCCAAGAAACATCCTGCCTGCCTCCAGGGTGGCCTGGGTTTCCTGGGTTTCGATGGTTTTCCTATGGAAAGCGCGACGCTCCCACGCCAGATGTCAGAGGGCGCCCTGGGGTCTCGGGGTCGGGTCTCCTGCGGACGGCTTCTCGTGGGCTGGCCTCCACTGTATCTGCCGCGTGCGGCCGGTTTCGGCCCCCTCGCCGTGCCCTCCTCCCGAGCCGCCCGCAGGCAGGACAGCACGTTCGTCCCAGCAGGACTCTGGGAGAGCGTGAGGCTCGAGTGCACTCGAATTCGGGCTTGCCGACGCTGGTTGGCGAGCACGCCCTGGATTTTGACGGTACGGTTTCCGTGGGATGTTTGCAGCGGGAGGTCGCGTCATTGTTTGATTGGGTACCGTCATTTTCCCGACGGCCCCGTCAGGCCAACCCGAGTCCCCCGAGCCCGAGTCTTACATCTTCCCGAAAGGAGGCCGACATGGGTACCGCCAGCAATGGGCGCGACTCCTAGTAGCAAACGTTGTCAAATGTTCGGTCTCAAGTTGGCAACGTCCGCGGCAACGCCGACAGCGAGTCCTGCTCAAAATGGGCAGGGTGTGTTGTCGCTTTTCGTCCACTTTCTTTCCGTACATTAAAGTCGCGTATTGATGATGGCCGATTTTCCGAGGTCACCCTTGCATCCGTGCACCTTCGGCCCATTCTTGGCCACTTTCGCTGGCCGACCCCGTTAGGGAACGCCAGCATGGCCCTCCAAGGCCCTTGCATCCTCATCGCGCGTCCTTATTCTGTGACTTGACTGCCGAAGTGAGTGCAGTGAGTCGGCCCAGGCCGCCCTTGGGGGCGCGAGGGCGACCGCGGATCGCACTCCACGGCTCTGTGCTGAAGTGGCCTGCTCTTCTCCACGCGGCGGCGCGGAGGGGAAGGGGGGGGGGCGGCGAAGGTATCGCGCTGACACGAAAGTTAGGAGCAGCCCTAGCTTTGGAGGGGTTAGTACCCATCCTCACGAGCACTGGAATACTTGCGCAAAACGATTTCGAAGCTCCGTGTGGATTTCTCAGATCGGCGCTGGGCCTCTTTGGCGGCGCCCCTGGCGCAGCCCCGGGCGCGCTCCGCGCGCCTCGGGGATGGTGGTCCAGCGCCAACTCGGGAAACCTGCGCGGAGCTCTGATTGTTTCTGACAAAGTACGGGGCGCCGCCTTCCATCCCGTCCCGCACAAAGCAGCTGCCTGCTGCTCCACGCTCCACGCCTTCGGAGGGTGCCCTTTTGTGCTCTTCGTGCTTGGGGCCTTCGCCTTGGGACGCTCTTCGTCTGGGGCATCTCCACGGGGCGCTGGGCCTCCAGCGACGGGGCCCGCGTTCTTTTGGCCGCGCTTCGGCTGCAACTGCGCCTTGGAGCCCGAAGCGCGAAGTGAGATGACCTACAATGGAGGCTCATGCCAAGAAGCACCCTGCTTTCCTCCAGGGTGCCCGCGATGTCGTGGGTTTCGATGGTTTTGCTATGGAAACGCGTGACTTCCCCACACCAAAAATCAATGAACGTCCTGGGGTCTCAGGGCTGGGTTTCTTGAGGAAGGTTTCTTGTGGTCGAGTTCCTGCTGTACCCCACGTGGAAGAATCTCAGGTAGCATCCACTTACCACCCGATTCCAATGCTCCTCTGCTCTTTTGCAGACGCCCGCCGATCACACGGTCGACCTTGAAGTGGCGGGGCTGAAACGCATTCACTTTGCGCACAGGGTTGTAGAGCAGTGCAGGGTCGCGCCGCTTCGACGCGGCGGCGACGCCGGCGCGCGGGTTCCAGGCTGAATGTCCCCAGGTAGTCCCATTCGGTGCCCGGGGCCCACATAAAGCAACCCACGGTGCTGAATCTATTCGAAAGATTTGGTCGGCAGTTGTTGGGGGCCTCCGAGATCGGATGTCGCTCAGGGTTGACGGGTTTACCCGCTGTGTCAGAAACCAAGGCCAGCGTCAGGGCAGGGATTTGCCGCATGAGTCCCCCGCTCGCGCGGGGAATGGAGAGGAAGACGGGAGGAGCAGGATGGAGGACGAGAGCGAGGGTGATGGCCTCCACCGAGCACGTTTGCCTTCAGGAAGGCGTCTGCTGGGATTCAGGGACAACGTTTCAAAAGTGGCCCTCCAGTAGGACCCCCGAGCCTCCTTGAGCCCAACCCCGTCCTCCCTCCTCCCCCCTCCCTCCTCCTTCTCCTCTCCATCCTTCCATCTCCTCCTCCAATTGCGCGCTGAAGCGGAAGAGCGATGGGAAGGAGAAGCCAGGTCACGCTTTGGTAGACGTCCGAGCTCCCGGAGGTTCTTCTTGGAGGGTCGGCTCCCAGACCTATGGGGGTCGGCACAAACATGATTGGTACGACGACGAAGGAAGACGACGACGATGACGACGACGACAATGACGCCGATGACGACGACGTCGCCGACGACGACGAAGACGACGACAACGACGGCGGTCACGACGACGACGACGCCGATTCCGAAGGGCGATTTCTGCGAAGGCCTTGCGGCCGGTGCCGCCGACCCAGAAGAGGGACGACGGCGGCGGCGGCGACGGCGACGACGACGACGCCGACGTGGGTCAGAATCCTCAGGGATGCTTCTTGGGGTCTCTTCGGATCGCTCTCGGGGATCTCTGGGGGGCAGTTTTGGAGCCACTTGGCCTCTCGGGAGCCTCTTGGGGTCTTCTTGAGGCTTTCAGGGGGCCGTCTTGGGGGACTCTTGTGTCGTTTTGGGGCGATCTTGGGGACCTCTTGAGCCGTCTTGGAGCGTGGGAAGACGAAAAGGCGAGAACGCCAAAACAGGTCAAAAACTAATGGCGCATCAATGAGCTTTGCCTCGTGGGGCCCACGTGGGAGTGCTCTTGGAAGAGCTCGGGGCGTCTTGGAGGTTTGTTGGGCTGTCTGCAGGCTATCTTGGGCGTCGTGGACCGATCGATCGGCGATTCGGGGCCCTCTTGGGCCGTCTTGCCGTTTTTTTAGGCATTCCTGGGCCGTTTTTGGGCTTTTGGGGCTCCGGGAACCCCGTGGCGATGGTATTTTGACCCGGAACCCTCCCCTTCCCCCCCGGGACCCCCCCCCCCAGCAGGGAAGGGATCAAAGGGGGGCCTTCTCTTCGACTTGACTACGACGTTCTTCAATGTCCTTGCTCCTTCTTTTCCGTCGGACTGTCGGCGACAACGACGACGACGAGGACGAGGACGAGGACGACCACGAGGGCGACGACTCGAACGGAAGAGCGCCTCACACACGCCGAAGGGTCGGCGGATTTTGCTCGTGGTGCGCAGCGTCGGGGTTTCCGAGGGGCCGTCGTCGCGGCCAGGGGCGGGCAGGCACCAGGGGCGCCCCGCGGAGGGCGAGGCGACGGCCCCAGGGGATCCCTGGAGCCGCCTGGGAGTCTGCGGCGGCCCAGTCCATGGCTGTGCCCCCGAGATCGATTTCTCGTCGAGTCTGCAAACGAGGACTCGCACCCCGCAGGTCTGGACATGAATAAGGGGGGCGGCGGGGACGTCGGCAGTCGGCGAGGCTCTGAAAAAGCTCGCCGCAGGCGCCGACTCTGTTTGTTGAAACAGTGTGGGTGGGTCGCGGGTGGGTCGCGAGTGGGTCGCGGGCGGGCCTGGTAGCGGGTGGGTCGCAGGTGGGTGGCGGGTGGGTCGCGGTCGGGTCGCGGGGTGGGTCGCGGGGTGGGTCGCGGGGTGGGTCGCGGGGTGGTTCGCGGGTGGGTCGCGGGTCGGGTCGCGGGGGGCACGACGTCAACAACAACGCAACAACAACAAACATAATCAGCGCCGCGGAGTCCCACTTCACCACGCACCCAGGGACAGTGAATGACCGTTCGGCTCCCTCACTTTGATGATAGCTTTTCTGTAGATCTATTGACATCTCTACGTTTTCGTTGGTACACTCGACGAACAAAGCCATATGGGGTAAATCAATTCTGCCGTTGATCTCCTACTCGACTGACTGGTTCTGGCCAGCAGGAAGGGCGGGCAGGTTCGAGGATCTGGGTTGGGGAAGGTGTCTTGCCTTTTTCGGCTTTTGGGCCCGGGGACCGTCAAAAACGCATATGGGGGAGAAAATTGCGCCGGATGGACCCCAGGAGGGGTCGAGGATTGATTTTTTGGGATTTTGCCTCAGCCCCCCTCCAGACCGAGTTGCAGGGGTCCCGCGCAGTTCAAACCCTGGCCGCCTCCAAGCATGGATGCGATCGACTACAGAATTTATGGATTCCCAAATTGGTTTTTGTCCAGAAATCCAAAATGCGCAGAATGTGTGTAGATCTATTGAACATTATACGATCCCCTGTAGATCCGACGAAGACATGAATTTGGGGGTAAGTCAATTCTCCAGTCGATCTCCTACTCGAAAAGACGGGGTCTAGATCTCAGGAGAGCTTGGGAGAAGACTTCGGAGACCAGTGCTCCGAACGGGCGTAGACGGAGTTTGCATTTCAAATAGTCGGCCATGTTGCGTTTTGATGTTATGTTCTATCTCCCTCTCTTTCTGCCTTTTTTTTTTTTTTTTTTTTTTTTTTCTCTCTCTCTCTCTCTCTCTCGCTCACACTCGTTCCATCTGCAACTTTGTTTGCCATTTCCGACCCCCCGACCCATCAGTGTGGGACCCCACCAAGGTTAGGGCATATGCTCAACCTTTCTACACGTACGTCCCTGCACCACGTCGTCTGGTGCCATGTGGTATTCAGCTTTCTACTCTGGCCCTCCTCCTAACTCCCCCTCCTCCTCCCGCGCGGCTGCGTGCCCTCGTTGGGGGGAGGGGGCTGCCCCTACACAGGGGGCGGCGCGGCCCCCGTCTTGGTGCGGGGGCGGCCTCTGAACGGGGCTGGCGGTCGTCGACCCGGCTCCGCCACTCTCGGGCGACCGCAAACATGCCGCAAACATGGATCAAGGGGGCGTAGGACTAGCGACGGGCACCGTTCCCATGGGCAATCGCGGATGTCCGCCGCCGAGCGGGGCGGCACCGGCCGCCTTTTGGGGAGGGCACCTCCCCCGATGCATGGACCTGGCGACCGCGCGCCAAGTCCATGGATCGCTAATCCATGCTTGCGCGCCCCCGACACTCGGAGCTCCCGCGGGGCGCAGCTTCAGGATCTCTCCGCGGTGGCCCAGGGCAGACACGCTCGAGCTCCGCGAGCCCAGCCCCGAGACCGCTCCTCCTCCCTCGCGCGGGGGCACCGGGAGCAGGCAGGGGCATTGGGAGGGGGGGCGAGGGGCGTCGACGACGGCGGCAGCGACGACGGCGACGGTGACGGCGGCGGGTGCGGCGGTGACGGCGGCGGCGGTGACAACCACGTTGGCGACGGTGACGACGACGACGGTGACGACGACGACGACGACGACGACGACGACGACGACGACGCAGACAACGACGACGACGCAGACGACGCAATCGACGCAATTCACGACGGCGGCGGCGGCGGCGGCGACGGCGACGGCGAGCCGAGCTGCCTCGGGGGGTTCCGCCGGAGGCACGCCAGCGTCGCGGGCGAGGTCGTCGAGGGCCTATAGTTTGCGACCCTCCTGGCGTCCGTCGACCCGTCCGGCGAGCCTTTCAAGAGGGTGGGCCGGGGGTGCAGGAGGATCGGGGGGAGTATAACGACGCGAAGATCGGGACAAAATCGGATCGGGATAACTCGAAACCTCTAAGAATCGGCGGGTTTGGAGGATGTATTGGGCGCCGCGGCCGCTCCAGAGCGTTCCGGAACGCTCTGAGAGCGCTCCGGAACGCTCTGGAGCGATTTATCCCGATCCTAGCCCTGTTTTAGGGAGCACCTGACAGGTGGCGGCGTGCAGCGCAAACGGGGCTTAGCCAGAGCGGCGGAGCCTGCAGGATTTTGCAAACTCAGATTTTGGCTGAGCCGGGTGTCGGAGCCGCGCTCGGCCCAGGAGGGGACCTCACATATTGGTTGAGCTGGGGGGTGGGAATCGTCAACACTTGCAATGCGTTTTTGTTCGTAATGTTGGCTAGCGTGGATCCAGTACAGTCATCCCCTGTAATCTATGTGGTTCAACCCAGGCGGTGCAATCAATGTTGTGCAATTTAGGTGGTGCAATCCATGTGGTGCGATCTATGTGGTGCAAAGCAGTGCAAAGCAATGGCACGCAGAGCAATGCAAAAGCATTAAGCACAGCGAGGCCATGAAAAAAGCAATGCCATGCAAAGAAATTAACACAAGGGCAACATGACGCAATGTAAAACAATGCAAATCATTGCAAATCAATGCAACTCGATGCAAAGCTATGCAATGCAATGCAAAGCAATGCGGTACAAAGCAGTGCAAAGCGATGAAACGCAACGCATAACAATGCATTGTAAAGCAAGTGAAACCAATGCACACCAGACCAATGCAAAGCAAACCAACTCAATGTAAGCACAATGCAAGTCATGCAAAGCAACGCACAACAACACAGAGCATGGCACATCAATTCAATGCAAATCAATGCAATGCACAGCAAAGCAAAGCAAGGCCAAGCAACGCAATGCAACGCAATGCAAATCAATGTAAAGCAAGGTGAAGCAAAGCAATGCAAAGTATGGCAACGTGTCGCATTGCAAAGCACTGCAAAGTAATGCAATGCAAGGCAAGACAAAGCACTGCACAGGAATGGCGAGCAATGGCGAGCAATGCAAAGCAACGCAACACGATATATATGTGGTGCAATGTGACGGCGGCGACGAGCGGCGACGGTGGCGACGGGGCGGCGACGGCGACAACATAAGCGCCACACAGACAGACAGGCCCAGTCGACGGGCGGCGACGAGGCGGCGACGGGGCGACAACGGCGGCTACATAGCCGTCAGACCGGCCTTCGGGCCCGGGCGACGGGCGGGGACGGGGCGGCGACGCCGGCTACATGGCCGCCGGAGAGAGCGGCCGTCGGGCCCACTTCTGCAGAGCAGAAGGAAGAGAACCCTAAGCGCAAGGACAGTTCGGGGAAATTTGTTGAGCCCGGTTTGCGCTGAGCTGGGTTAGTCCACGCCCGAAGGGGCCAGAATGTGGACGGAAGCACAGGGACCGAAGACTGACATCAGGTCCTATCCGTTTTTGCCTTGATTCGTTGGCGGTGCAGTCGCGGACGTTCGGCCGCTGTTGGTCTTGGCCAGCAACATCCGCTGTTGGTCACGAGAGACCTTCAGTTCCACGCCCTCGCGGTGCTGTGGGCACGCGATGCCGCGGCTGCGTTCCGCGAGGCGCGCCCGCACAAGGAGCCGTGGCCCAGGAGCCGCGGCCGAGGAGTCCGGACCGCGTACAATGGAGGCCCATGCCGAGAGGTACTCTGCTCGCCGCTGGGGTGCCCTGGGTTTCTCGGGCTTCCCTGGTTTTGCGACGGGAAGCGCAACGTTCCCACACCAGCAATCAATGGACGTCCTGCAGGGTTGGGTTCCTTGTGGAAGGGTTTTCTCGTGGTCGAGCCCCTACTGTAAACATAAACTGTTGGAGCTCCGCGCAGATTTTTGCAGATTGTTGTAGATTTTTGCAGATTTTTGAAGATGTTTGTAGATTTTCGTTGTTCTGCGAAGATTTTTGGAGATCTTTGCATCTGTGCTGGGGCTCCCTGGAGCGGGGCGCGGGCCCTGGCGCGCCCCGCGCGCCAGGGCGGGGGCCCGGCGTCGATTCAAGGACATGCGCGCGGGCCTCCTTGGCCATCGTGCTCTCAGGGGTGGGCAGACCTCCTGCCCTGACACGTCGATTAAGGAATCGGCCGTTTTCGGCTCGCGAGAGGGCGTCGCGGCCGTCACTCTTGCGGGTCAAGGTCCGTCGGTTTCGGTCCCAGGCCGTTTTCACTAAGGGGAGGTCTACTAAAGGGAGGTTTGTCCACCGCCGATGCTTATGCTGTTCTCTCTTATTCTGTTCCCGCTCACGAGCTGGGCCCAGATGAGCAAGAGGTCGCGATACGTTATGACATGTTCCGCGATTTCTGGGCGTCCTCATGTTCCACACGGGCTGCAGAAACAAGGGCCGTTGGATGATCTGGAATTCCTGCAGAACGTCCCGAGCCAATCGTACCATGATATGATTATCGTCCCATGGGCATCGTCCCCGTCTTCCCGTCCCACGGCGAAGCTCGAAGACGCTTTCAGGAGGCTCCGAAGAGCCTTCGGCAGGCTCGCGAAGGCCCAGGAGCCGCCGCGAGGCCCCCAAGAGCCCCAAGAGGTCTCCAACAGTCAGGCGAGGAAAAAACACAGACACACTGAATCGTCGATCCCCCGGAGAATGTAGAAAAATATGGGATGTGGGGGGGGTGAAGACAGAAACCTCGAACATATGGGAAAATATATGGGAATCCGGCGATGTGTGTCTATTGATTGTGTGTCCCAGGGCCCGTTTAAACAGGCCCCCAAGAAGCTCCAAGAGACCCCAAGCGGCGCCCCAGGAGGCGCAAAGAAGGCGCCAAGGAGGCCTTTGAGACGCCTGAGAGAGCCTCCAGGGCGGCGAACTCGCAGGAGGCGGCTCCTCTCTTCTCTTCTCTCCCTCGGTGACTCCAGCCTCGGGGTGCTTTCCAGCAGCTGCGCCTCGCCGAAGGCGTTCTCGGGTGCCTGGCCGCCAGACGGACATCCGAGCTATGACCCGAAAGCCAGCGGGCAACATCAGCAGGTGGTTAGAACGCGCCCCAGGGGGTGAATTGTACTTGCTCGACCTAGCTCTCCGACCTCGTGCCGTCGGTGGCAGGGGACATCTCTTTTCCCTGTGTGCATCAAGCAAATCACATCACATGACGAATGGCCTGTAGATGGCGGAGTGTCGACCGCCTGCGCGGATAGCAATTTCGAAGGGAGTGGTCTAAGGGACATGTTTAGCGGAACGTATCTGGTGGCCTTCGTTCCAACCCGCCACCTCGTAGTGTTCGTGGGATGGCCCGCCCCCACGCTTACTACATGTTGTATAGCGAATCACCACACAGGCCTTCTTGACCCCTGGCAAGCGGGGGTCGGCGGATGTTTTTTAACCAACCCGTTCCTCCATCCGTCTTTCTTCTGGAGTGTCACGCTGTGATATACGTCACGCTGCAGCAGAATTGCTCACCGCCTGGACCGACAAGCAACTCGGGCCGATATGTCTGTAGGTTTACATGTAAGCATGTTGGATTTTCGTTGGGATCTCGTGGGGGGCATCCCAGGGTCATCTTTTGGGCCTCTGTGGACCTCTTTTGGGGCTTCTGGGAGCCCCTTGGGGGCTCGTGGGTGCCTCCTGGAAGCCTCTTGGGCGCCTCCTTGGGGCCTCTTGGGGCGGAAGGCTTGGATGTTCGGTTCGTGTTTCCTCTCTTGTGCCCATTTTGGGGCTGTCTCTGGGCCCTCTTGGGCCGTCTTGTTCACCTCTTGTGTCGTCTTCGGGCGCCTCTTGGGCCGTCTTGAGGCCAACTTGGAGGCCGTGTTGTGGTGGTCTTTCTTGGAGGCTTCTTGGGCCATCATGAGGTCATCTTGGGCGTCTTGGGCGACTTTGGGCCTTCTTTGACCATTTTGGGGGCCTCTTGGAGCCATCCAGGCGAGTTTGGGGGACCTCCATGGCGGGGTGAGGAGGCGGAGGAGGAGGAGGAGGAGGAGGAGGAGGAGGAGGAGGAGGAGGAGGAGGAGGAGTAGAAGGAGGAGGAGGAGGAGGAGGCGGAGGAGGAGGAGGAGGGGGATGGGGGGGGGGGGATGGGGGAATGGGGGAGGGGGAGGGGGAGGGGGATTCTGGCAGACACTGGCCTTCATCAGACCCTGGGCGGGCCCAGGAAACGACTGGTGCGGGCCCCTACAGGCTTACAGCTCGGGCTGCAGCAGCAGCGCAGCCTTCTCAGTTCGTGTGGCTCCCAAAGGGACCCTAGGGAAAGGGACTTTTGAGACAGCCGATGCGGATTTCTCAAATCCTCTCGGCTTCGCCCACAAGGTCGCTGCACGACGCTTACACTCGCACTCTTCGGAGTCTCTCAGATGCAAAGCCGCGGTCTCAGAAGTGCTTGTCGCTGGCGTCCGTTTAGGAAACGTACCATCAGTGCTGCATGAGCCTTGCTTGGGGCATTCAAATTTGCGCCAGTGGCATGGTGGCGGATCTTACATGCAAATCTGTGTTTCCCTCTCTCTCTCTCTATTTTTTTGTTCTCTCTCTCTCTCTCTTTACCTCTCTCGCCCTTTCCATCGTCTCCCTCCCTCCTCTCCTCCTCGCCCCCCGGCTTCTCCGTCCATCCCATCCCTCCCGCCTCTCCTCTCTTGACGCCCGCTCCCCTGTCCGTTCTCCTTGCGCTCCCCCCTCCCCCTCCCCTGTGCCTCTTCCTCCTCCCCTCGCCCTCCTCCCGCGGCAGCGTCGAATATCGGGACAGAGGGAACCCCACCCAGGCGGTCATACACCAGGAGCTCACAGGGGGTTGCTTAGGGAGCTCTCCACTGGAAGAAGAGCCCGAACCACGCCCAGAGCCCGCCCCCCCCTCCCTGGTCTGCTGGGGGCTTCCTCCCGATCCTGAGACCGGTGACGGCCGGCGGAACGCCGCATCCCCACCCTGGACGACGATGACGACGCACGACCGACCGACGGCGACAGACGAATGAGGCACATACGACCGACGACGACGCACGACCGACGGCGACGGACGACGACGCACGACAGACGACTGCGAACGACCGACGACGAGGGCGACAGAGATCAAGCACTCCGGATCTCATGATCATGGGGGGGGTCTATTGTGAGGGAGGTCTAGAATAATTGGGTCAAACAATATTGTGTGGGGGTCTCGATGCTAGACCCGTTGTTGCACCGCTTCTGTTTTTCCCAACCATCCTATGGTGTTGGGTCCTCGTTTTGAAGAGACAGTCCCCGCGTCTGCTCTCCTCTCCTCTCCGCTCTTCCCCTCCTCCCCTCCTCCTCCCCTTTCCGCCCTCCTCCCGTCACCCCCCACTTTGGCACACCCTTGGCAAGCTTCGTGGCCCCATAGGGAGCTGCACCGGTGGCCCCAGTGCTACCGCCCGCATGCGTCCCCCCCAACCACTACAGCGTTCCGTGACCCCACGAGGTCCCAACGCTACTGCCCGCATGCGTCCTCCCCACCCAGTGCAGCGCTTCGAGGCCCGGCCCCATCGGGAGCTCCACCGAAGGTCCCAGCGGTACTTCCCGCATGCGCCCATCCCCCACCCAGTATGAGTAGCATTGCGCTGCCCCAAAGGAAGGTCCACCGAAGGTCCCAGTGCTACCGTCCGCATGCGCACCCCCCCCCCACACCCAGTACAGCGCGTCGTGGCACCATAAGGGCTCCACCAGAGGTCCCAGAGCTACCGCCCGCATGCGTCTCTCCCTCCCATCCAGTACAGCGCTTCGTGGCCCCATAGGGAGCTCCCCCGAAGGTTCCAATGCTCTCCGTAGCCATTTTGGCTCAAGACTCCCTGCTTAGGGGGCTGCAAGGTTCCTGGCGCAAACGGGATAGCTATGTTCCCCGAGTTTGTTGTGCACGTGTTTGTGGTGTCAGGTCCGCCCTTGAGTACCACATGCCTCCCTCTGCCCGAGGGTGCGCAGTCATTTTGCAGATATTGCTTCTCGGGGGGCTTCTCTAGTTATCGTGGTGAAGTGCTGGCAGTATGTGCGGTGCGGTGGCTACACGCCCCAGCACCTCTCTCTTTGTCTCAAAGCTGGACCATGGACGAAGAAGCCAACCGAGGGCGAAGACAAAGGACGAGTTGTGAAAGCGGCGGTGCAACCGTTATCCTCACGCCCGACAAGATCGCAGCTTTCGCCGCAATGGCAATTGAGTCCTACGAGGTCGTCATGGAGCAGCTCTCCAGAAGCATTCTGGACATGGTTGAGCTGGCACGTCGAAAGGCAGCCGCTGGAGTCTTGGGTTCGGAAGCTCGGAATGTATTCTGGTTGGCAATCAAGCATCGCAGACAGCGGCCGACGCCCAGGCGAAGCGGGAGCGGCTTGTGGAGCCTTCGCAAGGATTTCGAGGCGTTGGCTGAAGCAGCCAGCCGTCGTCCAGCGTAAGACGGCGCTCGAGGAGGCCGAGAAGCAAGCGGCCAAATTGTACTCCGCGGCGGCTCCAGACGAGGCGCTGCAGGCAGTCTAGGAGAAGGTCGCGGCCGGTTCAACCGAGGGGAAGACATGGGCCGAGGTCTTGGCCAGCCTCTCCTCCCTTTTCGACGAGATAACGACCCGCCGAGGCGCCGCCTCTCCTTGCTGCTGCCCAACCGCACGTGGCAACCCCTCATTGCGCAGAGGGGGCTACCTGGCGGCGGCGCGGCGTCCGGGGGGACGCCTGGCAGTGGGGATGCGGCCATGGGCGCTGCAGAGCAGACGATGGCGACGGCTCCGACAAGTTCATGGCCGCTGAAGCCCTCGGCGGGATCCTCGGCAGCACCTCGGACGGGGGCGAGAAGATGGCTCTGATGCAGGGCGCTGGTGGGTTAGGCCTCGCAGCGAACTGCAACTCGTGGTCGCGCTTCGCCCGCTTCCTGGGCGCGGCCCTGCGAGGAGCCGCGAGTTCGTCGCCGCCCAGGAGACGCGCCTCGGCAAGCAGCGGGCGCGCGACGTCCAGTCTCAGCTTCGCAGGCTCGGATGGGTCTCTGAAGTGGCATCTGCCATCAACGCAGGCCTTGGGCGCCAGGGCAGCGGAGGAATCATCGACATGGCGCCGCAACACCTCGGGTTCGGACCTTTTCGAGCTGATCGACAGATCTCGTGGAGCCAGGCCGCGCCATCATTGCCCGCTTCAGCGGTGTCAGCAGTGGCGGCATTGCGCGTGTCAGCGTCTACTTTGAGGTCGGCGTCGGGCCCGGCAGGCGCGGTGCCCAGGGCGCTGCAGGCGGCCAACCGACCGTTCGTGGTCTGCGGCGACTTAAACTGGGAGCCAGCCGCCGTTGCCGAGTCGGGCTGGCTTGAGGTGGCGCGGGCAATGGCAGCGGCTCCTTCGGAGCCGACGCACAGGCCCGCGAGCGGGGCCATCGACTTTTTCATGGTACCGGGGCTCTTTCGAGGGGCCCAGGACCAAGACCGGCGCCCTGCGCGGACTCGACATGGGCCCCCACCATCCTGTCGCCCGGGGGCTGCTGGGGCCAGACAAGCGCCAGCAGGTCGAAGTCATGCGCGCGGCGAAGACCCCCAGTGGCAAAGTCCGCATGCGCCCCGCCCCCCACCCAGTACAGTGTTTCGTGGCCCCAATGGGAGCTCCAACGGATGTCCCAGTGGCAAAGCTCGCACGCGTCTCCCCCGCCCAGTGCAGCGTGTCGTGGCCCCACAGGGAACTCCACAGAAGGCCCCAGTGCCGAAGTTCGCATGCGTCTCCCCCACCCAGTACAGCATTTTGTGGCCCCACAGGGACTTCGACGATACCCATAATTGCGGTAGTCACAACTGCATACTGTTGGGTCTTTCGCCATGCTACCTTTCCCCGATTCGCTGTCAGGCACTTGTTTTACCCCTCCCACCTTTTTAACGAGATCTGGAGCCGGGGATAAGTTGCAGAATTGATCCACCCCAAACTGACTTACTTCCCGTCGAATATGTGGAACATGCGCAGGATGCGTTGTGGCTCTGCGTGAGGAGCATGCTGCGCATGTTCTCCTTGGTTCGACAGACTCATCAGTTTTGGGGTGGGCCAAGTGTACAGCCGCCCCCCTGCACGAACGATGGCAGACGGCGGAGGCGAGCGGCCGCGCGCGCTTGCCGGGGCGGACAGGGCGCGGAGCCACGTCTGCGACCTCCTTGGCACCGCGAGCAGCTGCAGACAATGTGCTACTTTTCCCTGTTCGCCACGCCTTCGGCGGCCGCCCTGGGGGGCATTCGCGCGCGAGCTCGAGCGTGAGAGTGGGAGCCAAGGGGCCTTCAGACGGTGCGGTGACCACACGGTGCGGTGAGTCCGTGGGGGCTCGGGATCGCCACATAAGGAGAGCAAGCCATCACATAGACACAGAACCTCGGAGGTCGGCGCGGATTCCTTGGATCGGCGCGTGTTTACGCCTATCTCACGGCCGGTTCCCCTACCGCACGGTTCTGGCGCTCGGGTCGTTCTCCGAGGACCTCTCGGGCGACTGGGGCCCCGGGGGCCCAGAGGCCGTGCGGGGAACGTTTTTTGTGATTTCGAGGTCCACCGCCACGGCGTCGTCGTGGTCGTGGTCGTGGTCGTGGCCGCCGCCGCCCGCGACCTGGCCCGAGCCGCGTGCGGTGCCGGCCCGTGGAGGGGGCTCCACGGGCGGCACGGCCGCGCACGGGCGAGGATCAGGGATCGGGGATCGAGGAGGAGGATCAAGAGGAAGGAGGAGGATGAGGAGGAGGAGGATCTTGATTCGAGGCATCGAGGAGGAGGAGGAGGAGGAGGAGGAGGAGGAGGAGGAGGAGGAGGAGGAGGAGGGATCGAGGACTATGAGTCGAGAGATCGAGGAGAACCGAGGGCCGAGGGCCGAGGAGGGCGCCACGGGTCCGGGCCGCCATGCCCGCCGGCGGCGCCCGCGCGGCGCTGCAGCTCCGCTATCCGACGGCCCTGGACCTGCCCGCCCGGGCGCCGGGCGCGGGGCGCGAGGCCGCGCAGCGCGGGGGGCCCTGCATCGACAGGAGCCCCCCGTGCGGGGGGGCGGCCCTCTCGCCACGTCCGCCGCTGCAGCCTGCTCTCGGCGGCGAGCGCTGAGGACCACGAGGACGACGAGGACGAGGTCGACGACGACGACGACGACGACGACGACGACGACGACGACGACGAGTGGTGAGGGATCGGCAGCGAGCGAGGGGGGGAAGTGAGAAGGAGAAGGCCTTCTCAGACGGCGGCGGGACTGCTCTCAGAAGCCCACGCGCCTCCCCCTGCAGAGGTGTTCTCTGCATTTCCGGGGACGGCTCAGAGAACTCCTCTCACAAGGCCGGGGGACTATCGAGCCGAAGGCCCGCCCCTTCTCTCTCACTTCCCCCCGGGCTCGCCGCCGAGGTTGAAACCTTCTCGTAAGTCGGGCAGGTCCCTCTGCAGGGGGGGAAATTCAAGAACAGTTGAAATATAGTATGGTGAGGATTTTCCGTTGTTTTTGTTTGTTTCACTTTTTTTGATGTTTGTTGACCGTCTCATTTTTCATCTAGACTCCGCCTGTAGGAGGACGCGCCCGACCTGAACCTTCTCCTATGCGGCCCTGGCGGCTCCCGCGCAGTCCCCCATGGGAGCCCCCTGGGGCGATCTGGCCAAGGCGCGCCCGGCCGCTCGGAGCCCCGCCGCTGGCATCGCCGCCTGGCCTCCTCGCCCCGCCCTTCCCCCTGGCAGCATGGGTCCGCGATGCTTGCGCAAATCGTCAAGAACAAGCGGCATGAGCATACACTGCACCAGAGACAGACCCCAAGCAATGGATGGTTTGACATGGGATCGATCAAGGGATCGATAAGGAGATCGACCGGGAACCCGGGAACCCGGAACCCACCGAAATCGGACCGGAACCTGGAGCCCGGAACCGGGATCCCGGGAAACCAGCCGGCTACCAGAATCGGGAGGACATTTTCGCCAAACATTTCAGTTTCCGCTAGGACCCCTTCAGTGCAAGCACTGATTGGGGAATGAATTTTCGGCGCTCCGCGCGGATGGGGGGCCCAGCGCGGATGCAAGGAATCCGCGCGGAGCGCCAAAAGTTTCTGTTGATGCCGTTTTTGTTTTGGGGGGGCAGAGGGGTGGGGATCAGTTATGATGCACGTTGAGTTCCGGACCGGCTTGGAGGATGCGTGCAGTCGGACCGCGGTACAAGATCGAGGCTGGTTCGGGGAGGGTACGTGCCATAATGTACTTCGAGTATGTGGGATGTTCTCGTGCATCCTGGGTTGGGTGCCCTTGGATGTTCTTTGTGTTTTGGCCGGCGGAGGGTCTCATGTTCTTGAAGATGTTTTCCCCAACCATCTTGTGGTGTTGGGTCTTCGTTGTGAAGAGACGGTCCCCGCGTTCTCCTCTTCTCCTCTACTCCTCCTCCCCCTCTCCTCCCTTCTCCCATCACCCCCTCACTTTGGCACACCCCTCACACGTTCCGTGGCCCCATAGGGAGCTCCACCGAAGGCCCTAGTGGGGGCGCCCGCATGCGGTCCCCACACCTATGTTGGCACACCCCTCACACGCTTCGTGGCCCCGTAGGGAGCTCCACCGAAGGCCCTAGTGGGGGTGCCCGCATGCGGTCCCCAGACCCATTTCGGCACACCCCTCACGTTTCGTGGACCCATAGGGAGCTCCACCGAGGCCCCCAGCGCCACCGCCCACCTGCGTCCCCCACACCCATATCGGCACACCCCTCACACGTTTCGTGGCCCCATAGGGAGCGCCACCGAAGAAGATATTCACAATTGCGGTACGCACAACTGCATATGGTTGGGTCTCTCGCCAGGCTAATTATGTCCCAGGTCCGATTGCACGTGTCGCTCACAGGAGGATGCACCGCAACACAATCATGCATGGGTCGTCGATTGACTCTGATTCCAGCGTCCGAGCGCGCCTTCGCCCAGCTCTGCGAAGGGCCGTCCCCCTGGGACGCTGTAGGCGCGGCCTCCGCCTCAGCCTCTGCCCTCCCCCCTTCGGCTCCACTCTAGTCCTCCCAGATGGGGTCCGAGTAGATGGGGTCGGAGGGTCGCGCCGCATTTCGCATCGCCGATGCGGCTCGATGCGGAGCCCGGTTTTCCTCGCCCCGACGTCGCCAATGCACCGCCGACGTTGCCAACGCATCGCCAATTCATCGGCAGTGGGACGCCTCTGCCTACCCTCCTCCCTGGGGCTACACGTACGGTTGGCGTTGGAAAGATGGCCTGCGATGCGTCGCCGCTGGCCCGCTGACTGCACGCTGTCCCAAACCTCGGGGACAGCGTGCACCGAAGACGCCCGGGCAGGGGGGGCAGCGTGCACAGAAGGGGCCTTCGCGGGGCGATCGCCTCAGGGGTAGCGTGCTCTTCGGAGACCGATGACGCACGCCATTGTGTCCAACGCCAACCGACAGACGTAAGAGTGAGCCTTTGCGAGAGTGACCTTGAGCGCGAGCTCACAGGCTTAACCCCAGCACTGGCCCTCGCGCCTGGATGTGTCTCCCCCGCAGCCCCTCAAAACCGCGCACCAATGGCCGCTTGCATTTTTGGGTCATTCTTGCGTGCAGTCGACGACTCCCTTCCCCTCCCCTTCCCTCCGTCCTCCCCGTTCCCTCCCTTCCGTCCTCCGCGGCTACGGCGCGCGATGCCGTTCGCAGTCGATGACTTCGGTTGATAGGCCCATTTCCCACCACCATTACCAGAGGTATGAAAGGGAGGAGGAGGAGGAGGAGGAGGAGGAGGAGGAGGAGGAGGAGGAGGAGGAGGAGGAGGCGCAGGAGGAGGAGGAGGAGGAGGAGGAGGAGGACCTCCTCATCCTCCTTTCTCCCCCGTCCCGCATAGTCATAGTAGTGGTGGTGGATTTTTTGCCCATCATCGGTAACAAACGATGGGAGCCTTGCATCCCGATGGTATTCCGTTTTTAGGCTGCGCCAGCGTACGCTAGCGTCTGGCAGTATGTGAGACATCACAGATATGTTCGATCGTCGCCGGTTCAGCGTCGATCAGCGTGGGGTGAGCGACGACAAGACTCGCAATTGAGTTGCCACCGAAGATGGCGCAGGCGGGGGCGAAGTTGAGCGGTTTGCTTGGGTGTTCCATGGAGTGTCGGATGCAGGCCAGCTCGCGCCGCCTGTCACGGCCCAGTCGGCGGAACACGTGCTGCGTGCGACTGGCGCGCCAACGCTGGCCTCTTGCGTCGGGAGGTTGAGCAAGCTGCGGAAGGGTTAGTCGGCTAGTGGGGCCAAGGCCATGCCAACCGGCATCGGCGAAACGATGGTCTGGTCTGTAGGTTGACGTTATGAGTGGCCACGGTGAACATCGTGCGCGAGATGGGCGCGCACGCGATTCTTGAGCGAACTGGGCCGCCGTAACCCGCGTCCTCCTCTTCCCCTCCTACCACCCTTTGTGTTCGTGAGGTGCGAGTGGGACCCAAGATTGCCCAGCTCGAACACTCCATCTCCATGCAGAACGGCTTAGTGTCGAGGCGGGGATTCAGATTCATCCATCACCGCCGCCTGGGGGATCGTGCTTCGGGGGCCTGGGCAGTCACTGGATATGGCTGTGGATGTGGATTTGTTCGTGAGTTGCGAGTGGGGCCCAAGGTGGTCCATCACGAACGGCAACGTCAGGGGGGACAGGCTCAGGGGGACGCAGCGACCCCCAAAGCCCACTCCTGTGCGATAGGGTCCCAGTAGCCTACCCTGCCAAGGACCGTCCGGTTTCGCTATCGGGGGCCTATCGCTGGCTTATCGGCGATGTATCGCCGATTCCAGCTCGACGTTCCCCTCCCCCTGAGCCAGTCCCCCCCAAACGTTTCCCCTCACTGGTACACTACGAGCGCTCCATTTCCATGCAAAGCGGCTTGGCCTGGTGTTGGGCGTGTGCCCAAAGGGGTCTCGATTGCTCGAATGGGGGACGCAGGCGGTGTAAAGGTGACAGACAAGTGCTCTTTGTATCAGTCTCCAGGACAGGTTCCCACCGAGCGGGAGGACGGGCTGGTCCACACCCCATCGGGCAGGCGGAGGAGCGCCCATGCCAACATTTGGCAGAAGCGTCACAGATTTTTGAAGGGCGGCGCGCGAGTGGGGTGGAGGGACGGCTTGCGCGTCGAGCCCAGGCGAAGGGGCGGGGAAAGCCCGCATCTCCCCTTCCTCCCTCCGTCCGTCCCTCCTTCTTTCCTGCCTTCGCCGTCCGTCCATCGTACAGTTTCTGAGGCATGCTGATCACAGCGTGAACGCCACGAACTGAACGGAAGTGGCAACATAGTCGGTTGCAGGGGAAACTTGGACGAAGAGTGTTGTACTTCGTGATCTTCATCCTGGCAGGGCTGCAGCCCCAGCGCGCCACCCTCATGAACCGGACCTCCGGGTCCGTCGGCTGCGCGTCCGTCCGTCCCCTCACTCACCCCTCCTCAAAGTCTCCACGTCTTCCTCCGTCGGTCCTTCCCGTCCTTCCCCCATTGTTGTCGTGGGTCTGTTTCCCGTCGCGCAGCGTTGAGCCCGAGTGAACCATCATAGCTTCAAGCCCTGGCAAGCCTCCATTTTATGAGTGCTTTGGCGGACCTCCAAAGAGAAGTATTGCTCTACGGTCTGTCAGTCTACCCTCAATTCTCGCGCGCCGTCGTGACGGCTCTTGGGGCAGTAATCTATGAGGACGCTCGGGCTGACGTGCTCTCGTTGCCTGATGTGCCGAGAACGCACTCTTCTCGACTGTACCTGTCAGGGAACTTGCGGGAGTACCCTCTTCTTCATCCTCGTCCGTGTCGTGCTTTGCTTTGTTGCCTTGTCTTTCTTTCTTTCCCTCCCTCCCCTTCCCACATCCTCGTCCAGTCCTCCCATGCTGCACCCTTCTCCTTCATCCCCCTCCTCCCATCCTCCCCTCCTCATTCCATCTGACCTCCCCCTCCTCCTCGTCCCGCCTTCCCCCCACGAGGAGGAGCACAAGAAGCACGATGGAGAGGAGGAAGAGGAAGGACGCGATGACGAGATGATGATGATGATGATGATGATGATGATGATGATGATGATGATGATGATGATGATGATGATGATGATGATGATGATGATGATGATGATGATGATGATGATGATGATGATGATGATGATGATGATGCTGATGCTGATGCTGATGCTGATGCTGATGCTGATGCTGATGCTGATGATGATGATGATGATGATGATGATGATGATGAGGATGATGAGGATGCTGATGGTGATGATGTTGGTGATGGTGATGGTGATGGTGATGTTGATGGCGATGATGATGATGGTGGTGATGATGATGATGAGGATGATGATGAGGCTGATGGCGATGACGATGCTGATGATGCTGATGATGATGATGATGATGATGATGATGATGATGATGACGATCATCATCATGACGATGACGACGAGGACGCGACGACGATGATGATGATGGTGGTGGTGATGTTTATGCGGCTTCTGATGAAGATGATGTTGGTGACGGTGATGGTGCTGATGCTATTGCTGTTGTTGGTGCTGCTTCCGATGATAATGCTGATGATGATGTTGATGCTCATGCTGATGCTGATTGTGATGCTGCTGCTGATGATGATGATGATGATGAGGAGGATGACGGTGTCGATACCGATGTTGATGATGACGATGGCGATGGTGATGGCGGTGATGATGGAATGCTGTTGAAGATGAGGATGAGGATGGTAATGATGATGGTGAGGATGTTGTTAACGATGATGATGACAGTGATGTTGCTGCTGATGATACTGCTTATGATGATGATTATGATGATGATGCTGATGATGATGATGGTGATGGTGGTTGTTATGGTGATGGTGATGCACATGGTGATTATCGTGATGGTGGTGTTGATGCTGGCGATGTCTCTGGTGTTGATGCTGATGCTGATGATGATGAAGATACTGGCGGTGGTGGTGGTGGCGATTATGCTCATGCTGAGGCTGATGACAATGATGGTGGTGGTTGTGATGATGGCGGTGGTGATGGCGGTAATGGTGATGCTGCTGATGATGATGATGATGATGATGGTGGTGATGATGGTGATGATGGTGATGCTGAGTATGATGCTGATGCTGCTGCTGATCATGAAGATGATAATGGTTGTGTTGATGATGATGCTGATGATGCTGCTGCTGATGATGAGGAGGAGGAGGAGGAGGAGGAGGAGTGAGGACGACGACGACGAGGAGGTCGGAACGGTGAACGAGGAGCCCACCCCCCGCGGCAGGAGCCTCTTCCGCCCCCTTCGCCGCCCGCGGCCGCCTTCGGCGGAGCCCGCCGACGCCCCCGCCGACGGCCCTGCGGCGCCCCTCTGCAGCGGCGCGGCGTCCGCGGAGGCCCACGGCGACGGCGACGGCGGCGACGACGACGACGGCGACGGCGACGACGACGACGACGACGACGACGACGGCGACGGCGACGGCGACGGCGACGGCGACGGCGACGGCGACGGCGACGGCGACGACGGCGACGGCGACGGCGACGGCGGCGACGGCGACGGCGACGGCGACGGCGACGGCGACGGCGACGGCGACGGCGACGGCGACGGCGACGGCGACGGCGACGGCGACGGCGACGGCGACGGCGACGGCGACGGCGACGGCGACGGCGACGGCGACAGCGACGGCGACGGCGACGATGTCGACGGCGACGACGGCGCCGACGACGGCGACGGAGGCCGAGGCCGACGTGGAGGCCTGCGAGGAGCACCGCCGGCCGCCCTCGGCTCGGAGGAGGTGGGGGATCTACGGTGGAGGCCCATGCCGAGAAACACCCTGGTTGCCTCCAGTCTGGACGCCCGAAATGGGTACGGAAAGAATGGGCACAATGCCCAACAGCAGTTCCTGTTCATTTTGAACAGGACTCGCTGTCCGCGCCGCCGCGGCCTGTGTCCACTTGAGACAGATTGCCGCCTGCCCAGCAGCGGCCGCTGTTGGTTCGGGACAACATTTGCTGTTGGGCACTGTGCCCATCGTTTCCGTGCCCATTTCGGGCGTCCAAATCCAGGGTGCCCTGGATTTCTTTGAAAGGCGTGACGTTACCTCACCAAAAATACATGGATGTCCTGGTGTCTCAGGCTTGGGTCTCTTGTGGACTGGCCTCCACTGTGCTAACCCCGCTCTCCCAACCCGGGCGGGCCTGTCGGGCCTTGCAGGATCGATCAATACCCTGCAGGATTTTGCACCCAAGCCCGGGTCAGTGCGCCCCTGGCCCTGCAGGATCCTGAAAGGTCCGGCGCTCTGGCGGACCCCCTTTTGTACTGACCCCCGTCTCTTGAGCCACGAGACCCCATACCGCTACCCCTGCCTTGCTTCCCCCCTTTATGTGGGCATCCTGGGAGACCCTTGTCGCCACGGCCTGGTCAGGACCTCTCCCTGAGAGAGGCTTGGGGAGTAGTGGCATCGGTATCTTCTGGTTCCCCCACCCACGACGGCCCTCGTCGACGCAGAAAAAGAGCATCAGAGGAGCAAGAGGTCGTGATGATGGTACGCTCCAGGGTTTCCAGGGTTTCCTAGATGCCCAGAAGTTCCACACGGGCTCCAGAAGCGAGGGCCGCTGGATGCCACGGGACTGCTGAAACGCATGCTGGGTCAATCGCACCATAACATCGTTCTCGCCCTGAAGGAAGCCGAAGAAGAATGATTACGATAACCACGAGCGGTCAATCCCACCAGCCCTCTGGGCGTCGGTGGTTTAGAGAGTTTCCTCTTCCACCCCTCCTTCTTCCCCTTCGGGAAGGGGTGTACCCCTCCCCCTACCCCCTCCCCTGGACCTGGGGGGGGGTCGCGAGGTGTCAGGGCGTCCAAAACGGCCTCGGCGAGGAAGCCAAAATCATTGATGTTACTATGGTTTTGGCCCCATTTTGGCCTCTTGGGGGGGGACGCTAATTTAACACCCCCCCCATCCTGTGATCGATCTCACCCAAGATGGCCCACAGATGGCCCCCAAGGCTCCCAAGGGTGCCCCAAGAGGGCCCCAAGAGGTGGCCAGGAAGCCCCAAGAGGCCCCCAGGATGCCCCCAGGATGCCCCCAAGAGGTTCCCAAGAGACCTCTAAGCGACCTCCAAGAGGCCCCCAGAGGCCTCCCAGAGGCACCCAAGACGCTCCAAGAGGCCTTGGCGACAATGCCAAAATCGTTGATTTGACTAAGGTTTTGGCCACATGTTGGCCTCCGGGGGGGGGGGGGGGGCACTACTACTTCACATGACTCCGAGAGCGCCTGGGAGAGCCAACGATGATCTCCAAGATGGCTCCAGATATCCCAAGATGCCTCAAGATGGCGCCCACGATGCTCCAAGAGGCCCCAAGACCGCTCCAAGACGGCTCCAAGAAGCCAAAGAGCTCCCCCAGGAGGCCCCGAAGAGGCCAACATCCTTCCAAAACCTTTAGAACATCAATGTGTGTGGCTTTCTCGCCGAGAAGGCTCCAAGAGCGTTCCCAAGGCTCCCAAGAGCGCTTCAAGAGGGCCCCTGAATGCATTGGGGTTGATAGTTGTGCTACTCGCGCGATCTGACAATTCGATGACCATGTCAATCGTATTTGGGATGACGCCTATTATGATTCCAACAGGTTTCGTTGATTGAGTTTTTGTTTATAAAATGTCGTTGCATATTTCTTGCCCCGGAGATGGTTGCATTTGAACGGCGTTATATTAGTCACCGGCAGCTTTTCCGATTTCCATAAGACAGCATATCGTTTTTTTGTTTTTTGGCACTGTGGGCATAAACGTACCCTGGCAGGTCGCGCGCAAATTTCATATGGCACGTTTAGTGGCATCAAGGGCATGAACACACACGGGCAGGTCGCCCGTTGCAGATCTTATCAGATCATGCATGTCCTTTTCCTTTCAATGGGATGTCGGACGCACAGAGTAGGACATCTGCAAAACCATGATTCATGTGACTCTTCTTTGGGTACCCTTTTTTATGCAAATGTTTGTTGGCCATCGCATAAGTTTTCGGCCTGAAGTGTGTGCCTCGCACACGACGTCATAGTATTGTTTATTTGGTCTGTTGTCGTACCAGGTACGTTCACACGCAATGCCGATGACCAGCTATCGTAACATATGTGGTCAGAATGCCAAGCTAATTCGGGGCCCGGAGTGCCCCGTGGATGATGCTTCTTTCGGCAGGGCCTGATCAGTTGTCACCGCAATTTCAATCGCAGTATTTTTGAATTCAGAGTTTTGGGTTGCTACGCGCCGGCGCATATGGATTTTTTTTGCGCGCGACGTATTGTGCGCTGGTGGAAACGCTTGCGTCTGTATCTTCGACGCGGCATCGTCTTCCCCTTGCTTCCATTCTGTGTTCTCCCAGACTCGTCACCCGTGGGGAAAGGGGGTCGCCCGGGTGTGCCGAGGCGTTTTTCGGGGGCGCACAGTGGGCCCGTTAAAGGCGGGTTGACACCCCCAAGTGCCCTGCGCGACGTGGTTGACCCCGCTTCTCTCTCTCTCTCTCTCCTAGCCTGGGCGGCCTCGCTTGGAGGTTGCAGGAGATGCAATGATGTGTTGAGTGAGCCTCGCACCTCTGATCCTGAGCCCCGCCTTTGTCTCCCGCGGGCCCGAGGTCCACGTGGGGCACGCGGGGTTCGGGGCGGGTGGTGCACGTGAAGTCCGTTCATATCATCATTGTATCCATATATACTGCTGCCGCCTCGGCTCAGGTACTGGAAACAGGAGCAGCGACGTCTGCCCGCTGCGCATGGGAAAAAGGGGTCGCGACCCTCTCCTTTGCCTGCCTTCACCTACGGGAAGCCTTGTAGGATCGACTCTTCGGTCGTCAACCTACATGCGCACTCTTCGGTCGTCAACCCGTGACATATTTTCACATGCTAAACACGAGTGCGCGACACGCTAAGGCGAGAAACACATGTCGAAAACCACCCGCCCTCAATCCGTGAAGCCCTGGCAAATGTTTAAAACGAATATTCGCGTCGCTACGGCGAAGGCTACATTTTGAAAGCCACCCGTCCTCAATCCGTGAATTCCGTGCGGGTGTTCAAAATAAGTGCGCGCCGAGGTAAGGCGAGGGCCACATTTCGAAAACGACCCGCCGTCAATCCGTGAAACTCTTTGTGTTTTCGAAAAACGAATGCGCGCCACGCTTCGGCGAGAACCGCATTTTGAAAACCACCCGCCTTCCATATGCGAAGCGGTTGCCAGTTTTTAAAGCTTCAGGGTCATAAGTGGTGAGGAAGTCTGAGGGGAAACGCCCAGCCCGCCCTAAAAACGTGTCTCGGGGTTCGAAAGGAGGAAGTTATCTATAAGGAAGAAACTGGAAGAGGAGGATGATGAGGTGGAGGTGGACGAGGAGGCGGAGGAGGAGGAAACGAGGACGAGGAGGAGGAGGAGGAGGAGGAGGAGGAGGAAAACGAGGAGGAGGAAGAGGACGAACAGGATGATAAGGAGGAGGAGGAGGACGAGGAGCAGGTGGAGGAGGAGGGCGCCGGGGAAGGAGGAGGAGGAGGAAAAAGAGGAGGAGGAGAAGGAGGAGGAGGACGAGGACTATGAGGAGGAGAAGCAGGACGAGGACGAGGAGGAGGAACACGCTGGGCCCTTTGCTTGGCGGCAGCGGGCCCAAGCCCGCGCGGGGAGAGGCGGCAGGCCGGCGGCCTGACTTCTTCGGCCGCCCGCGCGCCGCCCGTGTTTTCTTCTTCTAAATAAGCAAGGCGGTAGTTAACGGGCCTCTTCAAACGAGAACGGGGTGACAGGGCATTTCCGTTGCACCGGGACGACAAGAGCGTCGATACCTCATCGTAATTCTGGGCGGTGGGGTTTAGCTTGCACGCGCGCGCGGTATATCTAGTCTTTGAAGACACCATTGACAGCGCACCGTTAGCTACCAGCTCGTTCACCAACGCCCCGTTTGCATGGGTTTGGATGGGGTCCGACTCGGACCCCACCTGAGGCCTGGGCTCCCAGGGCTCGAGCTCAGCTGTGCCCTGGCGATCTCGTGGGCCGTGTTCGTTTCGATCTCGGTCGTTTCGCGGGAGAGGCCTCCCCAGTGGGCCACGCGCCTGCAAACGGGGCGTCAGTAATCGAAGAGAAACAAATACGCCATACACATACACACATAAATTTCTGGGTGCTCCGCGCGGATTTCTTGGCTCTGCGCTGGGCGCCCCCCCACCAGCGGCGCCTCCGGCGCCGAGAGAGGAGGAGGAGGAGGAGGAGGAGGAGGAGGGAGGAGGAGGAGGAGGAGGAGGAGGAGGAGGAGACGGAGGAGGAGGAGGAGGAGGAGGAGGAGGAGGGAGGAGGACGAGCGAAGAGAGGGTATTCCGACGGGGCCCCACGTGGGCGCGCCCGGGGGCGCCCAGGCCTCCGACTGGGACCCCCCTTGCCGCGCGACCCTCCGACTGGGAGCCGTCTGGGGGTCTGAGCTGGCCTGGAGGGTTTCTCCGAAGGGCTTAGGCGAGCCGTCCTCCTCCTCCTCCTCCTCCTCTCCTCCTCCCCTCCCCCTCTTCTCCTCCTCGTCCCTCCTCCTCCCCCTCCCCCTCCTCCTCCTCCTTCTCCTCCTCCTCCTCCTCCTTCTCCTCCATCTCCTCTTCCATCCTTCCCTTTTCCGCCTCCTCCGCCTCCTCCTCCTCCTCCTCATCCTCCTCCTCCTCCGCCTCCGCCTCCTCCTCCTCCTCCTCCTCCTCGGGTCGCCTACGGCCCCGGCGGAAAGTGTGCAAGGTAGCCCAGCATTGGTTTTCGCTGGCACGAAGGACGGGCAGGTTCGAGGCTCTGGGTGCGGGAAGGTTTTTTGCTCGGTTCAGCCTTTGGTGGCAATCTCCGGAGCCCGCGGCCGTGAAAAGCGGATCAGGTGCGAGGAATTGCGGCATACAGACTCCTGGAGGGGTCCGAGGACCGATTTTATGCGGATGTGTCTTCATCTCTCTTCCTGACCGATGATCTGGGGTCCCAGCCAGCTCAGACCCCCCGGCTGCCTCCAGCTTCCGACCACGCCCTCTCGGACCGTCCGAATGGGTGTGGTCGGGGGGTCACGCCGCATCGCCGATGCATCGGCGCGAGAGCTCCCCGTGGAGAGCTCCGGGACCACCGACGGGGAGCCACCTCGTCGGCCTTCGCAGTGGCCGGGGCGGGCGCCGAGCGCGCGCGCGCGCGGCCGTTCGGGCAGAAGGTCCGCTGTGGCTTCGGAGGGGGCTCGATGCTCCCTGGGCCCTGCCCTGCCTATGTCCGGGGGCCCCTCGGATGCCTGGGTACCTCTTTGGCGTCGCGAGCACATCGCGAGCGTCTCTCCCGGAAGGCTTCTGGCCCACGGTTCTCGATGAGTCGACGGGTTTGGGGCCCCGGCCTGGAGGGGTTGTGGGACCCCGTCTGACCTGACTTACGCCGCGCTGCCGCACGCGTGGCGCTGCCGCACGCGTGGCGCTGCCGCAAGCGTGGCGCATGCGTGTGCATCTGTCCATACCATCTGGCTCATGCAGCTTCGGCTCCAGCTGCGGCGGCCGAGAGTCTGAAGTGTCCCGCCCCCGAGCTTGTATACTGCCCACCGTTTGCTCTGCGCGCACTGCCTCCTGATGCTGCCCGCGATGTTGTCCGGGATGGGTGGCGATGGCGACGATGGCGGCGATGGCGGCGATGACGATAATGAGGGGTCCTCGAGCCGAAGCTGCTGGCTGTGTGCCCCGTGCGTTGCGCCCTTTGTCCTGCTCGGGGCCGTCATCCTGATCGGTTGGAGCGAGAAGCGGAGCGTCTGCAGAGCGAAGGCGATCGACCAGGGCAGGGATGCAGCCGTGAAGGTGGGCTGTTCCGACGTCAGCACGGGCGCGGGGGAGCTAGTGTTCTTCAACTGCGACCTCCAGAAGACGGGTCTAGTCCCATCAAGTCTCGGAGTCTCAGGCGGGGCGTTCACTGTCTCGTTCCCGGGCGTCTGCTTGAAAACGACCTCCCAGATGTACCAGTGCAAGGAGACCAAGACTGAAACGACGAGCAGCACAAGACGACGACGCGACAAGACGACGACGTACACGTACACGAATACCTGGTCCATGACGTCCCCATCGACAGACATTTTCCATGACCTTCCTGCTGCTCGAACCCACTGCGCCATAAGTGCCTCCGCTACGTCTAATCCCAGTTGGGATCATGATGTGCCGTCGACTTCGACGCAGTACGCAAGTCAGGTCAAGGCCGGGGCTTGGACGATCACTGCTGGCTTGAGCGGCGTTGCGTGTGATACTGGCTTGGACCCGGGCGTGGCTACCGCCGCCTCGGGGATGTGGACACCGACGAGTTCGTACGCCTTCGAGAGAAGAGCCAGCCCGCCCAGCTACACCGTGGGAGACTACACCGTAGCCTTCGAGGGTAATGACTGGGACAGCCCCGGCATCACGGCTCTCGGCCTGAACACGGGGGGGACGCTGGAAGAGTGGGCTGCTGAGAGTGACTGGCTCTGCTCTGGCTACACGCTGTACGAGTTCAAGGGGGGTGGCCGGATGAGGAAACGTTGTCGAATCTGCCACCCTTATTGTCCCTTTCCTGGGAGGCCCTCGTCGCCACCGCTGGATTCGCCCCGGAATCCTGGTCAGAACGCAGCCCTGGAGAGGGTCGGGGAGTAGCGGTATCTGTACCTTTAGGTTTCCCCAGGTACCCAGGATATCGACGCGCTCTTCTCGGACATGGAGAGTGCGAATACTGGCCTCACATGGCTCCTCCGCATTATTGGCCTCCTCCTCCTCTGGGGGGGCTTTTTCTGTTGCCTGGGGCCCCTCGTGTTCGTTGCGGAGATGGTAGACATGATTCAAGTTGCTTACGCCATTCCGCCGACCCCCAGCGGAGTAGAGACGCCCAGTGCGTTCGGTCGGCTATGTTGGAGCTGGAGCGGCTGGGTGGTTTTGTTCATGTCCTCGAGGGTGGGGAAGAAGGAGGAGGAGGAAGAGGAGGAGGGTTGGAAGCAAGAGGAGAGGCTTAGGAGGAAGAGGAGGAGGAGGAGCGGAGGTGGAAAGGATTCATTGCGGAGATGGTAGACACGAGTCGTTGGTTTTCGCCACACCGACGTCCCCTTGTGGGTCTCGGCTGCTTCTCTTAGGGAGTGCGGGCTCGCAGAAGCTTCTCGATGTTGAGCAACCATTCGATAGTACATCACGTCAGCTTCAGCTTGTCTATTGAAGGTCTACGAATATATCCCAACAGCGCCTAATGGCACCGCATAGTACCTAGTGGCGCCCAATAGCGCCGAATAGCGTTCAAATTTCGTCCAATAACGATGAGTATCTCCCAATAGCGCCGTGTGAGAGAGAGATGCATCATGCCGCTTCGCGCGCGATCGGGCGCGCTTTTGGGCGCCATGGGAACCGACGGCTTCCGCGAGTTTCTTTCTAACGACCATTTGGGAAGCCGGTGAGCCGTGCTCACAAGGGGGCTTGTTGGACCTTCGCCTGGGCCTCGCGGGGGCTCTGGGGGGCCTCTCGGGGCTTCGTGGGTCGTGTCGGCGCGTCCTTGGACCTCTTGGGGTCCTCTCTGGAGTCGTCTTGCCGCCCTCGTGTGCCGTCTTGGGACTCGTGTGGGCATCTTTGGAGGCTGCCTTGAGACGCCTTGGGGTCCTACTGCGGCCTTTGGCCCCTCTTGTGGTGTTATGTGGCCGTCTCGGAGCCTTCTCTTGCGCTGCCGAGGCAAGATCCAAGAGGCTTACGCCATTCCGCCGACACCCAGGTGAGGCCTTGGGGCGTCCTGGGGACCCTCCGGGGGTCTCTGAGGGGCCTCTTCAGGCTTCTTGGGAGTTTCTTGGGCGTCTGTTGGCGGTCTCGAGAGTCCTCTTGGGGCGGAGGGCTCGGAATGTCAGTTCGAGTTGCCTCTCTTGGGCCCCTTATGGGGCCCTGTTGAGCCCTCTGGGGCCATCTTTGGCGCTTCTTGGGCCTTGCTAAAACCCTCTTCGGCCGTCTTGGGGCCTTTTAAGTGCCTTCTGGAGCGATCTTGGGGACCTCTTGAGCCGTCTTGGACACTGTTGAGACTAACGTGCGAACATGTTAAAAGATGCGTTTCCCCCAGGAGGTGGGACCATTGTTGCTTCTTGGGGCCCTCTTGGGGATCGTCTTGGGGGACTCTTGGGGATCGTCTTAGCGCGTCTTTGAGGCCTCTTGGGCAGTTTCGAGGCCCTGTTAGGCCTTTTTGAAGCCTCCTTGGCGTCTTGGAGCACAGCTTGAGCAAGCTTCGAGGGCACCTTGGGCAGCTTGGAGGCCACGACGTGTCGATTCGGAAGCTCCTGAGGCCCTGGGCCCGCCCTTAACGCGATGTTCGACTCCTGTGGAGGGGGAAAGGGGGCTTGACTCCTGGGGAGGGGAAACGGGGAAGGGGAGGGAGACATCGAAATGCGCGTGATCACCCCCGGCAAGCGGGGGTCGGCGGATTGATTATGCAGACACGCCGCGGACAACATACATGTTAAAGCGCCTGAGGTTCCTGCACAATCTTACCCTCGGGAACATTTTGGGAGCTTCCTGGTCACCTTGAGCCGTGTTGGGGCCTCCAGGGGCCTCTTTGACGCATACGGAAGATGCTTTGTTGAACCAAGATTGATTGTCCTGCGCGATCTTGAATGCTATCTGGGGCCATCGTGGGGGTACTCGGGTTCGGGCGCCGCTCCGCCCACCACCCCCAACCCTTCCAAACCGGCTGGATTGGCCTCCTTGGGGAGGGGGTGATGAAAGTGGCAACGATCTCACGCCGGGTAACCCCAAGGGGTCGGTGAATTCCATTCATCGGCGATGTCGTGTCGGACCTCATGTACTACGTGATCGCGGCCGTCTCGTGTATGCCTGCATGTGCTTGTTGTCTCTTCGTCACTGGGATCTGCTGGATGGCGATGCGGCCTCTTATAGGCGTTCCCTGTTTCCTCTTCGCGGTGCTCCTCTGTGGATGCTTCGCGTTTGCCTCCTACCGGAACCAGGAGAGGGTCAAGACCGACCCGGCATATTCGAGATCTCGCAAGTCGCGGGCCCAGCAGGCAGGCCAGGGCGGCGGGATGGTCGTCATGGGCCTTCCGATAGGCAATCCGATGGGCAATCCCGTCCACGGGATCGACAAAGAGTGAGTCAGCCACGCGCAGAAGGGGGGTGGGGGGAGGGGGGAGGGCGTGTTGGAAGCACCCCTGCTTCTTAGAAGGCGCCGGCCTTCTCTGTAGATGTAAGGTCGGTGCCCTCTAAGAAGCAGCCTCCTTCTAATCAAGCAGTGGCGAAGCGTCCTTGCTCGCCTATAGCCCTACCAAACAATGTTCTAAGAACCTTTTGTGGTTTCCACGAAATGTTTTTAGAACATTTTTGGCGGAGCCTGTCTTGTTTGAACACATCGGGTTTATGTTCTAAGAACATTGATTTCGTTCTTAGAACATTTTTGGGTTCTAAGAACATTTCGTGGTATGACTATAGTAATGCCGGGACGGTCGGTCCCTGCTCAATCTAAGCAGCCCTCCCTCCTCCCACCCCCTTGGTGCGCGCCGCCGAGTGAGGGCTGCGCCAAGTGGCCCGGGAGCATCCTCCGCAGCGCTCCCTCGCTGCGCGAGCAGCGCCCCCTTTCGCGCCGTGGGCAGGCCCAGGCCCTCGGACGGGGCCAGGACGAGGTCGGGCATGCCCCCCTACGGGGGATCTTGGAGGAAAAATGAAAGAAACGGTCCAAGAATACACCTAACATATTCAAAACTTGGCAAGAAAATCGTCCTCCGACTATGTAGTGACTATGTTTGAATATGCCCCCTGTAGCGGGACAGGCCCGACTTCAGGCTAGGACGAGGAGAAATCCGTTCCAGAGCGTGCCGGAACGCTCTGCAAAGGCCGCGGCGCCCTATACATCTTCCAGAGCCGCCGGACGTCAGAGATTCTCGATGTAACCTCACCCGACTTCATCCTCGCCCTGGCTTCGGCTCACTCCCTCTCCGCCTCGACCGACCCGACACAGACGTCCTGGACCCGATGTCGCCCTCGTCCTGGCGTCGTCTTGGGCCCGCACGCCCCGTGGCCGGCCGGGCAGGCGCCGACGGCGTCGCGAGTGGCGTCCGCCTCCGAGCGAGAGCGCCAGCCGGCCTCGAGGCGCGCGCACGCAGGTGTCCCCCGTGCACCTCCGGCACGGCGGCGCCCTCGCGTGGCCCGGTGCGCGGGCGGGCGGGGGCCCTGCCCGGAGCATTTTCCAGGTGCTCGTGCGCTCGACGGAGCAGTGTCTGGAGGGTTTCTCCGAGGGGCTCAGGCGACCCGTCCTCCTCCTCCTCCTCCTCCTCCTCCTTCTCCTCCTCCTCCTCCTCCTCCTCCTCCTCCCCCTCCTACTACTATTCGGGTCGCCTACGGCCCTGGGGGAAACCGTACACCCCCTTGCACCTCCGATACGGAGGCGCCCTCGCGTGGCCCGGTGCGCGGCGGGCGGGGGCCCTGCCCGGAGCATTTTCCAGGTGCTCGTGCACTCGACGGAGCAGTGTTTAGCAGTGCCGAGGCGTCCTGGTTGGCCTACAGGCCCACCAAAGAATGTTCTAAGAGCTTGTTGTGGTCTGCGCGAACTCTTCTTACAACATTTGTGGTTGAGACTCTCTTGTTTTGACGCACCAGGCTCATGGTCTAAGAACATTGTTGTTGTCAGAACAGTTTGTGGTTCGAAGAGCATTTCGCGGTAGGCCTATAGACATGCCGGGACGGTCGGCCCCGGCTCAACAGTGTGTGTATCCAGTGATCGTATTCTTCTTCTGCATTGTTTTACCGAGCGGCGCGGGCCCTCGCACCCACCGCCTGTGTAGATCCTGGCGGTTTTGGGCGCCTGTTTCAGGCAGGTCGGCGGAGTAAGCACGGGGGCCCCGCCTCCCCCTAGGATTATCCAAGGGAGCACTGTTCCAAACAGTCGCACCAAGCAGAGGTTCGGAGCCAGACCTCCTCCTCCCCCACCCTGTCGTTCACTGTCGAAACGCCGACTCAGAAAGCGTTCGCCTACACTTTGCATGTTCGGAAGTCCGCTCAGCATCGCTCAATAGATTCCCATCTCTACCGGGCCATGCTGTCTCAGCCCCACCATCCCACCACAGTTGGGGATGGGCCCCTCGAAATGCGAAGGGGCCTGCCTGTATCCCCAGCTAGGGAGGTAAATCGACCAGTGGGGCCAAGGCCACGCCACTGGGGAATAGGGATCGGTTAAACGATGCTCATACGCCCGGATTTCTTGGGTCGGCGCTTGGCCCCCCTGACAGCGCCTGAAGCGCCGCCCTTGACGCGCTCCACGTGCCAGGGAAGGGGGTCCATCGCTGACCCAGGAAGTCCGCCAGGACCTCCGAATGCTTGTGCTCATCAAGTTGCTGTTCCTCCGCGTGTGTTCCGTGGCGGCAGGACTCTTGGGAGGACTACAGCGGCGACTTCATGCTGCCCCCGCCGCTGGCGGGCGACCAGGCAGAGGACGACGAGAGCGCCGAGGAGCCTTGCGGGGAGAAATGGGGAGGCGGGGCGCAGGGAGCCCTGCTGAGGGGGGGGGAGGAGGAGGAGGAGGAGGAGGAGGAGGAGGAGGAGGAGGAGGAGGGAGGAGGAGGAGGGAGGAGGAGGAGGAGGAGGAGGAGGAGGAGGAGGAGGAGGAGGAGGAGGAGGAGGAGGAGGGGGAGGGGGAGGGGGAGGGGGAGGGGGAGGGGGGGAGGGGGAGGGAGAGGATTGGGAGGGGGAGGGGGAGGAGGGGCGGGGAGGGAGAGGGGGAGGAGGAGGAGGAGGAGGAGGAGGAGGAGGAGGAGGAGGAGGAGGAGGAGGAATGCGAGGAATGCGAGGAATGCGAGGAATGCGAGCATGAAAGACAGCTGGAGTCTTGAAAAAACAAAACGGGTTAGTCGGACCCCGAATTCGGACCCTGGTCGCCTCTGCCGCTGCCGACTCCGCGGGCAGCTTCCGCGAGGCGGGAGACGATGGCGTCGCGAACGAAACGCGGCGGCCCCCCTGGGTGGGGGTATCGGCCGTTCTGATTTCTCGACAGATTCTGGTCCCCTTTGCGGCTGGGGGTGCAACGGCCGACGAGCCACCTGGGGTCGCAGGTAGCGGTCTTGCCGCACGCGGCACAGAAAGTGAGGCCATATCGCCCCCAAAACTGGAGGCGGTGGGAGGGGTGGAGGCTCTGACCTCCTATCTCATGGGGCCCCTTCAACGGGGAAATACCGTCTCCCAGAGGTCTGGCTTGGCATCTAGAGAGGGCAGCCTGCTTAATTGACGCTTTCGTCTCGAACCGAGAGCAGCACAGACACACGAATTTTGGGCCGACCCTCCGCCACTCATGGGCGGATGATTTCAGCACACGGGCCAGGACGGGCACGAGAGGGGCCTCGGGACGCTCGGGACGGGCAGCGGTCCAGGGGTCCACACGAGCACGGTCCTCCAGGGCCCTGCGCGCCTTCTTGCGGACAAGGGCCGCCTCAGCATCCCTGCGGTCGGTCTCTGGGACGAAGCCGAGGGTGAATTCGCTCCAGTTCAGTCGTGCCGCCCTACCAGCGAGCACATCAACACACTCGTTGCCAATCGCACGGTAACATTCGCGCTCGCTGGTGCAATCTAAATCATCCACCGACGCGTGGGACGGGATCCACTCCACGATAACCTCCGCGCCCCTCCCCTTGGCAGCCCTGAAGATCCTGGTCCAAAGGTCTCCGTTCCGAAGCTGACGCACACACCCGCCTTGGGACCAGACTCTAAGGATGGGGAGGTGGTCGGTGATATACCTTAACTTTCCTACGGTCCGCTCGAGGGCCTCGGCGAACGCTGTGAGCTCTGCTCGGGGAACCGTCTGGGCTTTCCCAGGGACGGTGGTCGAAAACCCCGCGCACGGCTCCCAGTCGAACGGACGGCCACCGAGCGCGACAATCGCGGCTCCGACCCTGCGACGCCGAGGGTCGTCCGAGAACTCACCACCCGACCCGTCCCCGAAGACAGTGACGAAACTTTCGGCGTCGCGAGGTGCGGAGGCGAAACTGCCAAACTCATGTGAAACAGGCTCTTTTTCCTCATCGAAAACAGGGCAGGTGTCAGGGCAGCTCGGTACTCCTCTGAGCCACAGGGAGGGGCTCGCCTCCCAGTTCGTCCTGGCCTGGTCGATGAGGTGCTCGCTGTCGTCGTAGTCCTTGTGGCCAACGTTCTTTGGACAGCTCCATATCCGATGAAAAAATGACTCTGCCGCCTCCCCGCATCGCGGGCACTCGGCAGCAACGATGTAGCCTGCCTCACGAAGTCGGACCCTCGGCCAGTGACCTCCAGGGGCGACGGCGATGGTGAGGCCGACCTTGCCAAACTCGTCGGCCATGCTGTACCTCTCGATCTCGCGGGAGACGTGTAGAAGGTCGGCAGCCGCACGTAGATCCTCCGCAGCTTCATGTTGCGACGCTCTCCTCCACAACTGCTTGTCGATGGAGTCGGAGACGTCGCTGAGCAAGAGGGTGAACTCGCTGGTAATCTCCTGGGACTTCTCGTCTTTGGCCATGGGGATCAGCCACGAGTGCCCGCCGTCGGTGTCCCACTGGGTGGCGGACACGGGGTCCCAGCCGATGTCCAGCAACGTAGCGATGGTCGCGCTGAGGGGGGCCCTTGGCCAGTCGCCACTTGCGCTGACCTGCCTGCCTGATCCTCGGAGCGACGCAGTCCCATGCCTGCTGGATGCGAGGGTGGAGTTCTGGATTCTGCCTCCACAAGGTCAGCCATGCTGTAAAATGCTGGTGACGCACGTCCTTGGCTGGATCTCCGTCGCCCATAGCCATGGCTAAGGTGGTAGTCAAGCATCGACCTGGGCCGTGTCCAGCGACCGATCGCCCCGCTTGCCGTCGGAGGTTCGTGATCTCGTACTCTGGGACGCCCATCTGCTGGTGCCCATACAACGCCTGGGGCGAGCAGCCAGTGCGCCAGAGCCCTTGAGCAGCACGGCGGAGCTTGACGATGCGGCGGATCCTGCCAATGGCCATGGAGCGCTTGGCTGCGTTCTTCATGCGATCGCGAGCCTTGCCGCGGGACCGTATCCTGCCAGCAGCAGCGTCGCAACCCAAGTCCACGGCCTTGGTGGCCAGGCGGGCTGGGATCCCAACCTTATTGAGGCCCTTGGCGATCTTCTTGGCCATGGAGTTGTCCGTGGCGATCACAGCAGTCCTGTCCGATATGGTGAGGTTGGCTTCGTGTTGCATCTTGTGCCCCACGAAAATGCCAGCCTCGATCAAAGTGTCGGTGACATGCCTGGCTGTGCCATCGACGCTGATGACTGTGTCGTCTACGAAGGTCCTGATCATGACTCTGTGCTGGTAGCGAAGGTGAGCTTGGTGCAGCAGAGGCCCCAGCATGGCCTTCGCAAGTGCGCCTCCGTGAGGCGATCCCGCCACCAATGATCTGGAAGGTAAAATATCTCTTGACGCCCAGCTGCGTTCTTTCAAGTAGCGAGGCGCCAAGAACATCTGGAGCTCGAGCGCCAAGATGATGGCTGGGAAACCCTGCTGCAACCCCGCCTTGCACAATCAAGGGATTGAAATGCTGTCGTAGAACTTCTTCAGGTCGAGAAGGATCGTGCCACTGCTGATGGCAAGGATGTGGCAGCACTCGTCCATGCAGCTCCTGACTAGCGCAGCCTGCAGCGAGGAGGAGCCTCGGACTGCCGCATCCCAGAACTCCGCCAAATCCTCGCTCCACCGTTCCGACAGGGGGTACCTGATCTTGGACCAGAGCTTCATGAGGAAGGGGAGCTGCCCCAGGATCCTGCCGCCGCCCTTCGGCTTCGGGGCGACGGCCCCCATGACGGCAAAGACCTGGGCGGGCCACGTGACTCGAGCTTCGATCATCTCGTAGATCGAGACCAGTTCTCTGCGGGCGGGCTCGGGGAGCCTCTGGATCTCGATGGGGCCCATGGAGTCGATCCCCTTGGCCTTCTTGGCATTGAGGCGGCCGACGACAGTGTCGAGCTGCTCGAGTGTGATGGGGTCTACAGACTCCTCCTGGGCCTTGACAGTGACGTAGCTGAGGCCCTCCAGGATGGACTGCTGGCAGATGTTGCTGTCGGTCCATACATCCTGCCACGCTTGAGCTCGACGATCCATGATTTGGATGGGGGTGGCGTAGGTGTGCCCAGCCTCGTCGAGGTGCTCGTCGCGAACAGGGCGGGCCGGTTTGACGTGCCGATGCAGAACCCCATGGGAATCCCGCCACATCTTGAGTGCCCACTTGCTGAAGGCACGCCGACCGTCAGCCAGCGCTCTGCCCGTGGCTCTGCTGAGGAAGCGCTCAGCTGACTTGATGATGCCTGGGACTTCCTCGTCGTTCAGCTTGCTGAGGTCGGATACCGCAGCTACCCAGGACGTGAAGGCACCGTCGTCGTCCTCGAGAAACGGCTTCTGGAGCTCGTTGTCCAGGGCGACCTGTAGCAGCTCTGAAAACTTGCCGCTTAGGACGGCCTCCTCCGCAGTAGACTGCCGTCGTCGGATCGACTGATATCGGACGAGCAGCGTCGTAGCCAAATGCCACCATTCCAACAACTGGTGACGCATGTGAGCGCGAGCGGGTGTGGCGCTGGTGCGGTTCCATCCGATGGTGAAGCCACGCCCTCGGCCTCGGTGCTTCTTGGCGACATCCTCTGGGAGCGCGTGGTGCTGAATCGTGGCGTTCTCAACTGCCTCGATCCAAGAGTGGTATGTCTGCGCGGTCTCCAACTTAGCGACGGGATCCCTGTCCAAAAGGTAGTGGGACATCAGCTCGTCACTTGTGAAAGACACTGGGCCCGACTCCTGTGCCAACATGCCCTGGCTCGCGGTCGCCGTCCCTGCGACTGAACCTGAAACGAGCGCAGGATTTGCAGCAGCGCGCTCTGCCGCCACCATGCGAAGCCCATGTTCTCGAGACGCCTGTCCGACCTGGCCCCTGAGCCGCTCCCCCGATTTAAGGTCTTTGACCACCAGGGGGCTCTGGGGGGCTGCAGTTGCCAGGCCTCTGGTCGCGGAAGCCGCCGCCGCGGGGGCCGCCGACGTCGAGGCCGTCGAACTTGCGCAGGGCGGCTGGCTTGGTCCTGGAAGGAGCGGGGCGGTCGGGTCCCCAGGTGGACCTCCCCTACCGCTCCACTCGAAGGTACCCTCATCGCCTTCTGGAGAGTAGCCCTCAAGGTCGTCCCTGGGGTCGTGGTCCGCGGCGTCGAGGGTGCTCGATCTCTGACATTCCGAACGATATCTTGGCAGAAGGTTAGGATGAGGAAGTGGTACCGCCTGGAGCTGCTGTTCTCCATGAGCGGCCACGCGTAGGCTCTGACGTTCCGAACGAAATCCTGGCAAAAGGTTAGGATGAGGATGTAGTTCCGCCTGGTGCTGCTGGGCGCGTCGGGCGGACTGACCTGGCGCTGGGGCGTCGGCTCTGGTGGCCGACACTAATTTGACCCCTCTGACGCGAAACCATAGGTCGAGGGGGATGCAGAAACTTGCCGCTGGGGCAGGTGTGACGTCGTCGTCGATGCGGTAGATCTCGTCGTAGGCCTCCTGGAGCTGCTGGTCCAAGGCCTCCTTCCGCTTGCGGTGGGATGACAAGGCCTTCTGCCGCTTGCTGTTCGGGTCGGCCTGCTTCTTCGGCCTGGCGACTGTGGGAAGCTCACGCGGCAACTGGATGACTCGATTCCACCAGTTGCACTTGCCGTCGCAGATCGATAAAACCATGCCGATGTGGGTCTTCCACGGGACTTCTACCACAGCATCCAGCTTCAAGGACAGCGCGAAATCCGAGCGGGCAATGCCGTAGTCGATCATGGTGCCCTGGCCGAGGTTGCAGGTGGTGGCGACGTTCGTCGGCAGCAGGAGAGAGCCGCCGATCCTGCTGAGCCACTTCGTCTTGTCCCACTCGCTCGGCTGGTTGTTCCAGTCGCCCAGGACCACCCAGGGATCTGCCAATAACCTCAGGAAAGCAGCCAATCAGATCATCATGCGCTCGTTCGGGCCTCGGAGACCGAACTTGGGCTGGAGGCAGGCTGCAATGACTATTACGTTCCCCGGCTTCGTGTGCCAGGTGGGCGGGCAGAAACCTTCGAACGGGCCCTTCGCCGCACGCTCGAACTCGGCCTTTGCCCTCGAAGGAGGTGGTCGCGAGCGTCTTCTTGCAGAGGATGGCCTCGCCTCCAGTGGTGCCCGACTGTGAGCGGCCTGTGGGCGTGGAAGGGGCGGCGATCGCTTTCCACCCATCCTTGGACATGTCGACCTTCATCTTCTCGAGCTTCTCCCCTCGTAGATGGGTTTCCGCGAAGCCGAGCACATCGTACTGCTCGGCCTGGGCCCTCATGAACCGCTCGGAGCGCGGGCCCCACTCCGAGATATTGGCGAAGAAGAACAGGCCGTCGTTAGGAAGAGGTCGACCGTCCTCCTCCCTTGGCCTGACTGCCTGGGCTGCTGCCGCCGTTGACATCAGCGACAGTAGGCCAGCCAGCAGCCCCGCTAACCTTAGCCTCGGCGCGCCCCTTGGCCTTGGCGATGGCCTGGGATGCCTCTGCCTTGGCTGCCTCTCGGGCCCGGGCTGCGTCGGCGGCTGGGGCGACGGCAGGGGAGGGCTCCTCCTCCTTGGCGGCCGCCTCGGCGCCTGGGCCCTGGTGGGCGGTGCCATCGGCCCGCGGAGCCGCTTGGCTGGCGCAGCTCGGATCTCCTGGACTGACTTGAGCGTGGCCGCGAGCGTCTCATGCAGGGCGGCAACCTGCTGCACGTGCGCGTCCATCTGGGCCTTGAGGTCGCAGAGTGTCTTCTGCTGGGTCTCGTCGTACTCCTCGAGATTGTCGGTGAAATCAGCCTCGTTGATCGCCAGCAGGATCTTCTTGCCGTCTGGCGTGTACCCGTCTGGCGGAAACTTCAGCTTGCCGACCGACAGCGTGAGAGCCTCGATCGCCGTGTCGTTGGCAGCGCGGGCCTGAAGCGCCTCCTCGGTGGCCATAAGAACCTCGTCCTTGGCCTTGGCCAACGCAGCCTCGGCAGCGACCTGCGCGTCGGCCGCTCGACGAAGGGCGGCCTCCTTCTTCTGAAGGTTCTGGGCGGCAACGTTGGCCTCCTGCTGGGGCGTGCGCTGCTTGACGAGGCTGGCCGAGTACTTGTGCTCCAACTCCTGCAGGGCAGCCGAGCCTGCCAGGGCTGGGACCGCAGCGAGCAACTGGAGCATGGCTGCTGGGTCCGCGGGGG